CTTCGCGTCCGTCGCGGCCGGGGTGGGGCCTCTAGGGCCGAGCGCGTCGGAGCCTCCGGCCCTCCAGCCCGGGCCGGGCTGCGCCGGGCGGGGTCTAGGCTCGCGTCCAAATCAATACGTGGCTTTCACGCCAAGATGAGGGGGGCGCTGCGCGTCGCCTGGGCGGCGGTACGGCGGTACGGCCCGGGCGCCCGGGTCTTGGTAGGCCTAGCTCGGCGCAGCGCCGCGTGGGGGTGGAACGGTGGAACGCGGGGGTGGAACAACGCCGCGCCGCCGCGCCCCAACTCAACAGGAACGCCACCCAAACAGCAATATGCAGCTCGCCGGCGAACCGCCAAGCCACAAAGCCGCCGTCTGCGGCCGCCCCGCCAACGCAGCGCAGCTTGCCGAAGAGCCCCTAGCGCTCTAGTTTCAATATGGCCGCCCCACGCAAATACCGCTCCGCGCTTGCCGCTCGCCCACGAGTCTCCAGCGCTCTGGCTTCAATATGGACCTCTCGCGCCCCCGGCCGCAACGTCACCGTCGCCCCGGGGTGGCCGAGGACCTCGGCGTCGACGTGCTCATCCGGCCGGATGCGTCCGTGCGCCGCGCCGGAAGCGTTTCAAAACACCCACAGCCATAGAACTCGAGGCTCGAGATGAAATTTCACAATTTATCTCGCTGACGCTCCACTCGCGGCTGCGACGAGCTGGGCCCCCGCCCTGCAGCCCTGTCCGCTGGAGGACGGCGAGGACGCGAGGACGGCGCAGAGGTCCTTTTCCTGCTCGACGCCGAAAGCTCCGGGCGGTCGGGCGGCAAGCCGGGGCTGGCAGGCAGCTGCTTCCAAAAGGCAGGCAGCCGGCAGGCAGCCAAGACCGCCATCGCCAACAACAATCGATGGGGAGCCGGCCGGCAAGGGTCTGCCAGCTCGGGCGTGCTGCCTGGGTCGTCGTGGCAACGGCCGCCGTGCGCATGCGCGACCGCGAGGCAGCCAGAGGCAGCCAGGCAGCGCTGGCAGCGCGGGGCACGGGCTCGACGCGATCCACCCCTCTAGGATGCACCACTAGATGCCGCAGATGCCGCGCCGCCTCGCTTCGCGCCCTCGCCGTCCTCGTCCGCCCCCGCTCCCCACCCCCGCACTGCCACGCCCAGCGCTTCCAGCGCTCAGCCTTGTCCCCAGCGCGGCGTCGGTTCCGTCCTCCAGGCACCTCCAGGGGCTCCGGTGTCCTGCGGCCCTGCGGCCCCGCGGCGTCTAGGGGGCTCTCCGCCAGCACGTCCGGCCCGGGCGTCCGGGCACAGTCCCACGCTTTCGGCTCCAGTACACCTGAAGTCTTGCCGGCCTCCGGAAACGGCCCGCGTTCAAACAGCATTCCGACGGTGTGCGAGCGAGCGACCCTGGACGGCGCGCCGGGCACCGCCGGCACCGCGGCTATCGGTCACCTCGCGCTGCTCGCCGTGACGCAGCACGCGCAGCATGCACGCAGTGCCCGCGGTGGCCCTGGGCCCAGGCCGGGTTGACCTAGGTCAGGGCGCGGACGCACGCGGGCTGCGGCCGTGGCCGCGCGCAAGGCCGCGCAGGTTTTCCCAGCTTCAAAATCTGGGGACTTCCCGTTCCCGTGCCGGCGCGCTGGACGGCGCCCAGTTCCTTGCCTTTGCGCCGGCACCGCGCTCACCCCGCCCTGCATGCCCTGTTGGCCCTGCTGGTGCCCTTCACGGCGTCCCCCAACGCTCGCCGAACCAGTAGAGTCGTTTTCGTCGCTAGCTGTCTCTCTGGTACCTGACGCCACGTGAGTGCGAGAGAGATAGATTGACGAAAACGACTCTCGGAATCAGCCTGCAGCCCGAGGGGTCTGCTGCGTGCCCGCATGCCTGGGCCATTTACGGAGGGCCCCTCAGGATAATAGGCCACCCTCGCTCTCGAGCAGTGTAGCCGGGCCTGGCGAGGGCGGGGCGGGGCGGGGCGGGGTGGGGTGGGGCCAGAGGCCGGGGCCCCCCGAAATTGGCGCGCTCGACCTAATCTGCCCATCCGAAGCCATGATGCTCTCCGAACCGAGAGAAGCAGCACTCCGCACCGCACGGCCCGACAGACACGATAAGAAGACTCGGAATCACAGAAAATGTGACGAGTTCAAGCAAGGCGGCCTGCCGTGCTTCCATTTTATTTCCAAAGTGCGGATCGGGAACGCCGATCTCAAAATGTCAGCAGACTGATTCCGAGAGTCATTTCCGCCGCTGTCTCTCTCGCACACAAGAGGCGTCCCGCATTGGTGCGAGGGAGACAGAGCGGCGTACGCAAACGACTCTCGGAATGGCGTCTTGCATCGAGTGCGTCGAGTGCGTCGGGCAGGACGACGCGGTGCGAATTAAAACGGCGTTAAATTACTTCATTCCAGGGAGGGGCGAGCGCTGCACGGCGCTGCATCGATGCATCATGGCCGCAGCCGCGCTGCACCACGCTGCACCCTGACCGCCCGCCTAGTCCGCCCGCCAGCCTGGGCTGCCTGCTCGGGCTTGCCGCCTAGCTGGGCCGAGCCCTGGCCAAGCCGAAGCAGGCTGTTTTCTAGCCACCCGCCCGCCAGGCAGGCAGGCAGCCACCCGCCCGTCCGCGTGTCGGTCCGGCTGTCCGCCGGGCCGGGCGGGATGCGGGGTTGCCGGTCTAGGAGGGGAGCCTCCGGTCTCCTCGAAGCTTCGACGAGGCCGAGCTGAGCTAGGCCGAGCGACGGAGAGCGACGATGTTTTGGGGAGGGAAACGCGTGAGGGGGAGGAGGACGGCCTGAGGGCGGCCTGAGGGGAGGAGAGGTGGGGCAAGGACGCAGCGACGCAGCACAACAACAGCCTCCAAACGACCAACCTGAGGATGGATTCGGAGCACTGTAAGCTGCCGCTGAATGCCGTGCCGAGGTGAGGCGCTCTTCGGTGCACCGGTGCTAATTCCTCGGGAATGCCTTCGCCTGCAAGACCTGCCAGTGCGAGAAAGGCGTTTTGTTCGCATGCAAAATGCCAAAATGCAGCCTCCTTGTTGAGGGATTTATTTATTGCAAGCCCGTCGTCGGAAACGTCGACGACGAGGCTGACGGGGAGGCCACCACACTGGTGTGCCGGGGGGCCGGGGCGTCATCTCTAATTGGACACCTGGCCGGATGATGGCCATGGCTGCATGGACATGGACAGCCAGTGCAAAGCGATTGTCATCGCTACACTACAGCGTTGTCAGCGACAGCAATTTTCGGCCTCGAGCAGGTTCGAGGTTCGAGCCCAGGCCGTTTTTATTGGTTTTTACGTGTCTTCCTGTTGCTCCACGGCACTGCCGACGACAGGCCGAGGGTCCGCGACCCCAGACCGCAGCGACGTGTCCCACGGCGTGACGCAACCGGGCGTCCAAAATTGCCGTCCCGGCCACCCACCCCGTCAACGTGCCCCTCCCGTCCCCTTCGATACAAACACTCCACTATATTGGCCAGGGCAAAGTCCAGCCGGCCGCACACTCCCATGAAAACACGCCAAAGTTTCTGCTTTGCTGCGCTGGGCTGCGCTTTGCTGCCCCGGAGCGGCGAGAAACTTTTTATGAATTTTGGCGACGACGACGGCGATGCGATGCCGTTGCGGGCAACTTTGGCGCGCCTTGTTTTCCTGGAAACTTTTGTCGTGTCGGGGCGTCGGGGCGGTCGGAGTGTGTGGGTGTGGCGTGGCGGCACGGGCGGCACGGCACCCACCCGGTGCGCCCGGAGCATGGCGGCGGTGGCGGCGGCTGGGGGAACATCAAGTGCATCCTCGCTGATCCTAAGCTGCAGACTGATTCCGAGAGTCGTTTTCGTCGCTGGTCTCTCTCGCACTCATGGGGTTTCCCGTATAGGTGCGAGAGAGACAGAGCGATGAAACAGACTCTCGGAATCAGTCTGCTGACGCGCTGACGCGCTGACGCCGCCGCGACGTGCAGGCCGGCAGTCCCGCAGAACACCAGTGCACTGCGTGGTGCCTACTCCCCGGGCGCGCGGCGTGGAGAGTCCGCTCGGCGGCTGCAGTCTCATTCCGAGAGTCGTTTCCGCGGCTCTGTCTCTCTCGCACATGCCGGAGACGCAGCACCAGTGCGAGAGAGACAGAGCGACGAAAACGTACTGGTTATCTTGGGCATCGCGGGCAGTGCGCTGCGCGGTGCTGCGATCGCTGCTGCACCAGGAAAACAGCCTCGCCTCGCGGACACTGTACTCTGTAACTGATTGCAACTTGCAGCGCCAGCTCGCTGACGTCACCGCCACACCACCCGGCGCGGGGGCGGAGGCAAAACGAAAGAGAACGCTGCGGTGGTCCGTCAGCGTCATTGCTGCGAGGCTGCGAACATCGACCCAGGTCGTCGAACAGTCAGAGCCGTTGCCTCATCAGGGACCCTTGACTCACAGTGCCTGCACCCCCCGGCTGTGACGTCATCGCGTCGTCATCCGGGGCCGGACCGGGCGCTCGGCGTCGGCCGGGGCTCGAACCGGCGGCCCGGCGGCGCTCGCACGCTTGGCTTGGCACGCGATAAGCACGCGTTAAGCACACATTAAGGCGCCGACGCGTTAATTAAAAACCCATTTCACGAAGCACCCCGCGCAGGGACCGCAGGGACGACGTCGGCGTCGGAAGTGGCGGCGCGGGGGCGCGGCCTCGTGCGCTCGCCATCGCGGAGCTCGTGGTCCAGCCCCGCCCACGACGCACTGCGAGGCACTGCGACGCACCTGAGGGGCCGCGGCCAGTGCCAGTTCCGCGACCCGCGGGGTCCACGACGCTGCCGACGCCAGACGTCGCGACGACGCCGCGCCCAGCCTGCGACGCCGACGACGCCCGCTTGCCGGCGGCCCGGCGGCCGGCCCGCCACCGCGCCCCGCCACGCCCCGCCGCTCCTGAGCCTGTCCTGCCGCCGGGCCGTGCGGCGGAGGCGGGCCCGGCCTCTAGCCCGGGCCGGGCCCTGCGTACCGGGTAGGGGGTCACGTGGGGCTGCGGAGCGGCACGGCTCAGCACGGCACGGTAACAGTCGCTGTTTGTTGTGAGAGAAGAGTGCGCCCCGCGCCCCGCCAAGCCTCCGTGCAGCGAGAGAGATTTTGGCCGCAGAGTGCCCGCAAGAACGACAAGACCGCCATGAGCAAGCTCTACGTGGGCAACTTGCCGCAGGACGCCAGCGAGCAGGCGCTGCGGCAGCTGCTGGACGACAACGGCGTCTCGTGCGGGGCGATCCTGGTGAAGCGCGGTGGCTACGCGTTCATCGACTGCCCCGACCAGTCCGCGGCCGACAAAGCCATCGACAAACTCAACGGTGAGTGCTGTGGGGGCGTGGCGGGCCGGGCCCAGCGATAAGCGCTATCAGACTGGCGGCCTAGAGGCCCCACCGCGCGGCCGCGACGCGACGCCGGCAACCTGCTAAGCGCGGCACCGGCGGCAGGCCATGCCGTCCGCGCCAAGACTTTGGTTAGTCGGCCTCCCCAACATGGCGGCGGCCGGGGCCAGGCCGGGGCCATGCCGGGGCCCCCTACTCACTCTGCCCGCCCCTGCCTCGGCTGCTGCGCTGGCACGCAAGCACGCCTGCCTCGGGGCCGAGCCGAGCCGGGACTTGAACGCTGAGCGAACCGCTTTGAACGGGCCAGCGTCTAGCGGGCTTTCGATTCGAGCGACCTGACCTCCGCCCCGTGTAGTGCTGCCAACCCATTATCGCTCGAACGCTACGTCGCGTTTTTAGGGGGCGTGCGGTTGGTAGTGGGCTCTACGTCGTCTGCTTCGTTGCTTCGCTGCTTCTCGGAGCGCTGGCGTGTTTTTTCGTGGCCGTGCTCGCACAGTCATGTTCGATGTACGGCGGGGCATTGATTTCTCTCTCTGAATGAACGCCTCATCTCGCCTTATCACCCGCCCGCTTTCTGTGACGTGTCCTACACTGGGAGATGTCTGAGTCGCTAGGAAACTGGGGCCCCCACCCTTGGGGAAATTTTGCAAACGAGGCACCTGTTGTTGGTTTGTGTTTTCTTTATAGTTCGTTTATTTCGTTTGAATCGTATTTCAAGCATGTTCTATCGTGTGTGCCATGGTGCATACTATGATATTTCAGTCTCATCAATCCATTTCTCCATCCACTTCAAATAAAAAATAAAATTGTTTCCACGCATGCTTTTTGTGAGGTTACTTATGTCACTTTTCACTTTGTATTACAAAGAAGTTTTTCTTGTTATTTCATTTTTCTTTTAGGTAGGTCATCTGTTTAATATATTTCCTTCCTGGTGCCCTCAATGCAGCGACGTTATGTTGTCTTTGCCTATTTTGTCGATTTGATCGTACTAACCTTCATTCCCCATGCCTCGATCTGTGCACACTACTCCTGCCTATGCACGTCAACCCTACTGCAGTCATCTGATGATAACTGTTCTCCCATATTCCATTAATTTATCAATTACTTAAACGCATTGTACCTATTGGCCTTTTTAAATGTTCCAGTTAATTTTTAGTGTTTTAGTTTTAGTATTGATCAATATGTCAAGATTATCGTGTCCATCCATCTGCTCATTACTTCAAGTTGGTCATTATTGTCAGACTTTTGCACACTGTACATGTTAGGTTTTAACATTCATTTAGCTATTTTAAATTTATTTTCTTAAAATTCTGTTTGTTTTTAGAAGTTCCCATGATTTTTTCCCCTTTCTGCAACTGTTCCTTGCCCCTTATCCCTGCTGAAGGCTGGAGGCTCCGACTCTGCTGGGTGGCTTAGGCGCGTGGGCCCTGTCTCTGGCGTGTGTCCTTTCACAGACAGTATCTTGGCGGTGCATTACAGTGAAGGGCAGGACTTGAAGGGTGGGGGGCTCGCGGCCGGCGGGACGGGACGGGCCCTTCGGAAGGCTTCCGGAGATAAGGCACAGCGAAGGTCGCTGTGGTCTGGAGGCCAGGCTAGGGCTTGGCTTGGCTTGGCGGTGCTTGCGTGCAGTGCGGGGGCGGCTGCCCTGACCTAGAGTCCTGTACTCTAGGACTCTAGGCCGCGGCCCTTGCGCGTGTCTGCGACGTGCACGACGTGCTCGCGCCATGCCACGCGCAGTGGGCCAGAAGACCGGTGGAGGCGGCCAAAACTGTAGACGCGTTTTGAGCTCCAGAGTCGCTAAATGGGACTCGAACCGAACGTGTGACCCAACCAATGGATTGCTCTCCGAACGAGGAATCCATCATTGGTGGGGTCACACGTTCGGTTCGAGTCCCATTTAGCGACTCTGGAGCTCAAAACGCGGCTGGAGTTTTGGCCGCCTCCACTGTGCCACGCCGCCATGGTGCCCCTCCGCAGCCCTCCGCCATCGCGGCCGTGCAGCCATGCCGTGCAGCCATGCCGCCGCAGTATTGGCTGCAGCATGCAGATTGATGCAAGGGATGCAGGGGAGGCTGAGTCGCGGCTCCGCGACCACACAGCGACCCGCGCGGCGCGGCACGGCACGGCGCGGCCTGCCGGGTGAAAGGGAGGGAGCGACCCCTCGCAGTGAAGGGTCCGCAGGGCTCCGCGGGGGGTGCTTTCTGCGTTCGAACTCTGCAGTGCAGTGGCGCAGGGCGTGGCAGTCTCCTGGGGTACTGTACCGACGTAGGGGTTCCGGCAGAACGTTGGCAAATAACAACCTTCCGAGAAATCCAACTCGGCTGCTAGCTGCCAGTGGGTGTGGGTGGGTGTGGGACGTGAGTCGCCCACGGCCCTCGTGAGAAACAACCCCTGCTGGACGGCAGCCCACATGAAATCCTTCGTCAAGGCGCTTCTCTCCAGCAGCTCGGAAATGATTGTGTTGCCCCCGCCTTCCAGCTGCCTTCCAGCTTTCGCAGCCTGGCAAGCACATTCCAGGCTCGGCGCGCTCCTGGCGTGGCGACCCGGCTGGAATGTTGTTGCTCAAGAGGAGGCAGCCTAGCCGCCCCCAGCAGCGCAGCCTTGCGCAGCGCCGCCCCCGCGACGCCGAGCCGCCAGCCACCCCCGCGCTGCGTAGATCCCGAACGTCCCTCTGCCTCTCTCGCACACTCTCGCGACGCCCCGTGAGTGCGAGAGAGACGGGAACATGTTCGCAATCATCCCCTGGCGGGGCCCCACGCGGGGGAGTAACGCTGACGCACCTCGAAGGTCACCTTGCTGGAGGCTTCATGGAGGCTCCAGGCTGGGGGTGGAGGGAGGGGCGCGAGCTGGGGGCGGACCAGCGGTCGCGGCACTGCAAAGTGCGAAGGTCGCGACGCGATGGTCGGGCCTCGGGTTTAGACTCATCCCGGCTTTTGGCGGGTGTTTGTTGAGAGTGGGGTGCGTCAAAGGGTGCGGGTCGCGCAGGAAGCGGACGTGCGTGTGGTTTGGCCGCTCCGGCCGCTCCGGCCACCAGGGCGACGACTGTCCCGGTCCAACGGTGACGTCACGGGGACAAAGCGGAGCGGATGACTCACGGCGCGCTGGTTGGCTGGCTGGCTGGCCTGCACCGCGCGGCGTCGCGGCACGGCGTGCATTTCGCCAAAGTCGAGGCACCGCGCACCGCGGCGTGGACTCGCGCGCTCCCGTTTCCCGCGCGTTGTGAGTCACGCCCCCCGCCCCGCACGGCCATGGGCACGGCCCCAACGGCCCCCGGGACGACGACGCCGTCCTCGGGCGGGACTGGAAGCGCGCGGCCGGGCTACTTATGCTGCCTCGGCGGCGTGGCCTCAAAGGATGGCCGTAAAAATAAAGCCCCTGGAAACGAATTCGTTTGAGGAGACGACTGGCGGCGTTCCGCGCGCCTCGACCCAGTCGGCCAGTCGGCGCGGCGTGGCGGCCAAGGTGGCTCCGTGGCCGGCCGGTCGCCGAAATGCGACCTTGAGCCCCGTCCGTGCGTCTGACGGTTCGCGGAGTGGGCGAGGCCCGGCGAGGTGGCCGCGGACTGGACCTACACTGCGCCCCGCCGTCCGGCCACGCCGCGCCGCGGAGCATGAAGAGGCGCGTATGGAAACGAGGATGATAAAGGCAAAACGACGACCCACGAGTCGGGCGGCTAGGCCAGGGCCCGCCATGGGCGTTGGCCACGTCGCGGACCCTCCCGTCGGCCAAAACAACGCGGCCTCGGACAAGCGTCGCGCCGCCGTGCAACAGGTCTGGTAGCGCCCCAAGCTGCCCCAGGCCAGCCCCAGCCCAGGCCTCCTCTACAGAACACTGCAGCCTCGTCGTGGAAATGAGTTGACAAGTTGGGCAGAAGCGGCGCCAGTACTTGAAACTTGCCCTCGCCGGAAATGGCGACGTGGCATTGCCCTTTCCCGCGGCTGCGGATTCTGGAGTCTGGGCCCGGGCGGTTACGTCACTGGGTTTCTCTACCCTCGACACCCTGTAGCACCCGAAGCTGGAAGCTTCTGGCGCATCGAAAACGAAAGCAGGAAAATCCTCGCGGAACGCTTCTTATTTCGGGGTGTGGCGGGCCGAGCTACGCCAGGGCCAGGTGGGCCAGGGCCAGGGCTACAAGGCGGGCGGGCGGACTGGCAGGTAAACACCCCGGGTGCGCTACGCTTGCTACGCTGCGCGACCTGCGCGACGTGCCGTGTTTCCAGGAAAGCGACGAGAAGCAAATGCCCCGCCTGCAGGGCCTGCAACAAAGTAACAAAGTGGCGAGGGGCCGCGAACGCCGCCAACGGCAGGCACGCTGCTTCGCTGCTGCAGCGCGGCCTGCACTGTGCCGGCACTGCACTGCAACGAGCTATCCTCGCCTCGGCCATCCACTCCGTTCCACTCCCCTCGCCTTTTCTCTCCTCCCCGTCTTGGTGCGTTACGGAAGGAGCCGCGGTTTATTTTTGGAGTTCCGGTGGCGGTACTTGCCGAGCCCCCACCCCTTCTACCCCCAGCCAAAACACTCTCTTTCGGACGCACCCCGACGAGGCCGTCTAGCGCCACCGCCAATGACTCCGCTCTGTTCCTCTGTTGCAGGCTCCATGTTCATGGGATCCAGCCTCGTCGTGGAGCCCTCTGTCGCTGGCGGCACTAAGAGGAGGTGAGTCACTGGGCGCCCCGCCTCCCTCACTCATGGGACGTTCCTAAGGGTTGCGAGGGAGACAGCGACGGAGCAGTGTTCGGAATCTGCCCGCTCGTGACAGCGCGGGCTGCTGCTCGCTATTTACTCGCCTCTCTCACACTCGTGTGTTTTTCTTGGTTCCAGAACTCCTGAAGACAACGGCGAGGAGCATCGCAATGGCTGGAGGTAAGCGCGCCGCCAACTTTGTTACGAACGCGCTAGACGAAGTGCGGCGCGGGGGCTGTGACGCCCCGCCGCGCCGCGCCCTGGCGAGGGTGCCGTGCTGCCCCCACACCCCGGCGGGCGAAGGAAAGGAGGGGTTTGCATTAGACTCCCCCCGGTCTGGAGAGGCTCGAGGTAGAGGGCCTGGAGGCGCCTGGAGGCCAGTGACCGTGGAGCGTCCTGCAGTGCACCCTCACTGACCACCCGCCACCGCCCCGCTCCTCCCTCCTCGGGTTCCACTTCCACTGTGATTTTGCCAGCACGGCCGGCACGGTACAGTAGCGCCTGGCGCCCGGGTGCAATGTCTTGTGCTCTCCAGTCGTTGCCCCTGCCGGCCCTGCGTGCGCCCCTCGCTGCCCCTCCCTTCCCTCCACCCCTTCGCCTCGCCGCCCCCACGCTGCACAGCCGCAGCCCCCGCGATCGAAGCGAACCCCAAGCCGAGCCTCGCGGAGGTACTCGCCCCGCTCAGGTGAACGTCCCCAGCGCCGCAGCCGCACCACTACTCCGCACCGTGGCCGGGACGGGAAGGTCCCGAAGTGCTTCCCAGAAGGCGGGCTGATGAGGTTTTCCGCGCCCCGGTCCCCGCTACGCCTATTGTCTGGCCGCGGGGATGTGCGATTCCGCGAACTCCAGCCCGGCTGCACAAATCGGATTCGGCCCGGCGTGCCGTGGCGTGGCCCGGGGTGGGGAGGCTGAGGCTGGGGCTGGGGCCACGGCGCAAGTCGTAGGTCGCAGCGAGGGTGCGTCGCGAGGGCGGCTAAATTTGCCGTCAGCTCGTTATGCTGGATGTGCGGTGGGTGGCCGCGGGCGGGGCGCCTCCATCGCCTCCGTGCCTGGCTGCCTGAAGGGCGGCAGTGCAGCGGCTGCCAACCAGCCCCAACCAACCCCCGCGGCGTCGCTTGGCGCCGCTTGGCGCCGTGCTCCGGGCGGGTACCTACCGAGTGCTACTCGGCGGGTACCGAGTGCTACTCGGGTTGCTGCTCGGTACCAAGTCGGTACTCGTTCGGGACGCCGATCAATACATTTGACGGGCAGCTCCGTTGGGTCCGGGGCGCGCGTTCCGCCGGCAGCCACGCGCGGCGACGCCAACGCGCGCCAGCATGGCGCCAGCGCCCCTCGCGGGAACCTGTTGAACGGCAAATGCAGTGGCCGGAGTGGCCCTGGACCGAGTGCTCGTGTAACAAGTAACGCCGTGTTGTGGTACTTCTTGGCGCCGGGCGCCCGCCGCGCCTCCAGATGCACACCCCTTCCCTTGCAACCGCCCTGGCACGCCCGGCGCCGCCCCCTCCGGCCCACCGCACGAGCGGGGCCACAGGCCAAGAGACACTCCGGTCCAGAATCGTCAGACCTTCGATCTGGCCTTTCCCTCGGGAAATGTCCTGCATTCTGAGGCAAGGAATATCGACCTTCTTCACTGGCTCTGAAAATTCCGGCGCTAGGAACGCCCCATCTGGCAACATCGCGGCCTGGCTGCAGGGTGCCGCGTGGTGCCGCCGTGACAGCCGCCCTGTCGCCCTTGGGCGCTGCGGAGCCTGGACTGCCTGGACCTCCGCCGCCCTACAAAGCCTGGCTGCGGCGGACTGTACCCGGGCACCCCGGGCCAGCGAGGCCAGCGAGGCCAGCAAGGCCAGCCTCCGCGCAAAATCGATTCAAGCGCGCTTACGCACTGGCCTGCCAACCCCCGGCCCCCGGCCCCCGCCCGGACCGAGGCCCGGACGCACCCCGTGCGGATCCCTCTGCTTGCCGCTCTTGCCGCTCGCGGCGGGAGGACGCGGCCCGCCGGACCGGCTGGGGCGGCCCCTGCGCCCCGCGAGGCCCCGCGGGGGGCATGCTGCTGGATGGCGTCGACACGCCCAGAAACGTTGCGTGAGGCTGTGAGGCTCGACGGCGAGGGTGCAGGGCGTGATGGCGGGTCGACTCGTGGGCGAAAATGCAGAAACCTTGCCGCGCACGGCGACCGCGCCAACGGCAGCCAATGGCCGAGGGAGACGAGACGAGCGTGTCCACTGTACCAGTGCAGTACAGCACAGTGGCCCCGTCTGTTTGTCACTACAGTACTGTACTTGAACCGCGTGTGCGACGCTCGCTGCAGGCCAACGCGCTAACGGTGCAGCAAGGACGTTGTGCGCACCGCGTATGCGGTGTATGTACCGCCCACGACGCGGACGTCGAACGATAACAAGCGATCGGGGGACGCCAATTAGTATGAAACTGGCGCTGCCGGACTGAATCACGGCGACGGGGCGTCGTTGTTTTTGTCCCTGAAGCCATTTTGCATTGCGTGTGGCAGTGGCCACTGCCTGCCATGCAGCCTAGAGTGGTGGCTCCCGCCCTGCAGCAGCACCCCGGGCACCCCGCGAACTGCGGCGTCCTGTGCCTGACTTGGCGGTCTCGGCGCCCCCCGCGAACCCAAGCGGGCAAGACAAGACGGAGGACGTTCAGCACCTGTGTAACAGTGCAGGGTGTTGCAGCGGCGATGCAGGTGCACCCACTCGCCCCCCGGGCTTGCCGGGCTTGTCAGCAACAAGTGTAGACGGCGGGGCGGGACGGGCGGGCAGGCCGCGCGTCCGAGGGGGCGGCGTGGCTGAGGCTTTGTGTCTATGGGGCTCATCTCATCCCCGAAGGACGAAGGATGCGGCCTCGCGACTAGGCGCTAGTGAAAAGAAGGGGTTACGCCAAATATCTCATCCTCAGCCGGCGGCAGACGGCAGCTAACCCCGCGCCGGCCTAGGCCCGCGAGTTTCGGATCGGAGGAGTGGGCTGTGCCGCTTGCCGCTGGCGTGCTGGCTGGCGGCTCGGCCTGCCCCGCCGCCGGCGGAGACCGCGGAGGGTGAGTGGTGGGGGGTGGGGTGCTGCCGCCGCTACCGCCACCCCGCCACCACCGCCGCCGCCCGCGTACAGCGCCGTGCCCGGCGAAGTGAAGCTCGGCACTCGGCACTCGGCATCCAGTGAGAGCCGAGCTGTACGGTGCGGCGGAACGCTATCTCGAGGCTTGCACACGTCGAGGCCAGGCCGAGTGCGTGTGTGTGTGCGTGCGTGTGCGTGCAGGGCGTGTGTGTGTACTCAGTGCTTGTGCTCCATACGGATACCAAACTCCAGCCTCACCATGGCCTTTGAGGAGGAGAACAACGAGTTCAACATGTCGGAGTCTCTGCACGACGAGCGCCAGGATGGCAAGAACACCAACGGACACTCCTCCAGCCACTCCAGGTAAGGCTGGCGTGTGGAGGAGACCGGCGTCGGGCCGGCTTGGCGCAGCTGTCCCTCCAGCCGGCACCACCTGGAAACACCTGGAGGCACCTGGAGGATCCTTGGCGCTTCCACGGCGCGGCCCAACCCTGCCCCTGCGCGCCGGCAGCCTGCGGTAGCCTGCCACGCCACCGGGTACCTGTAGGCAGCCTGTAGGCTGTCGACCCTGGCCGGCCAGGACCGCCAGGACGTCGTGTCACGGGGTGCACGCGACGCCCTGCGACGCCCTGCCTCGGTGGTCGTCGCCGCGCGCATCGCGCCTCGCCGGGCCGCTTGCCGCTTGACGTGGAGGTGCCGGCACGGCACGGAGGGCGCGGCCGCGTCCACGCCCAGCCTCCACGCCCTCGCCGGTGCGCGCGGTGGCGATGCGAGGCCGTGCTGGTGCTCGGGGGCAGTGGCTGTACGTGCTGAGAGGTGTGTCAGGGAGACAAGTTGAGCTGACCGCCACATAGCTGTGTAGCGGCTTGGCCCGGCCGCTCCCAGTTCATCTCATTCCGTTGGTTCCAACCGGGTGGTGCGGGCTGCGGGCATCGGGATGGGACGGGGCACAGCGTGGTCGGGACGGACGGGACCCAGACCGGCCGGGGAGGCGGGACGCAGAGGGGACGAGGAGAAAAATGTGGGGAGCGAGAGAGAAAGAGTGTGCAGTGCGCGGAGCGGAGCGCGGAGCGGCGTATTGACAGCTTTCTGTGGCGGTGGCGCCTGGTGGGGGAAAAGAGAAAAACAGCGATGCTAGCGCCACCTCGAGGCCCCGCGCCGGACTAGCAGCGTCGCTGCCGCTGCCGCCAGTGCCGCCGGCCGCCGCCGAAAAATGCGTGTTTTCCACGACGACGGCGTGCTCTGCTCGGCCCGACTCGGCTCTGGGATCGGCTCTGGCGGCTCGCTACGGCCAGGCTCTCCGCGCCGCGCCGCGCGGCTCGACGGTGTAGTTGAGTTCCTGGCCGCCGCGTGCCCTGGCGCTGTGCTGCGCGGGCCGTGTCGTGCCGGTTGGGCCCCTGCCACGTGCCACGTGTGCGTCACGCCGTCACGCCACGCGAGGTGGGTGTGCCGTGTGCCCGGAGCACCTGGAAAGGACGACAAGGCACAAGGGTGGCCGTCGACGGCGTCCTGGGGGCAGGGGCCGCCCGGGGAGCCCTTGACAGCCGCGTTGATGCTGTGTCGTCTGCAGATCCTCGTTGATGGAGAGTGGCGTGAGCCTGCAAGGACGGCGATGGTGGTGCCCTCGACGGCAATCAGGCCTCGCCGATCCTGATGGCCGGGAGGATGCACGACGGGGACCTCGGGGCAACGCTTTGAACACACACATTGAACACGACGACGGCTCATCGCGTTGGGGTTGAGCAACACGACGACGCCGAGGGCAGCCGAGGGCCGCAGCGCCGGCGCCGTGCATTGAACAGCAACAGGTTCGGGCCGACGCTTCGCGCTTCGCGCGCTCTCTCTGGCGCGCGCTCTTTTTGTGCCGCTCTTTTCGCCGGCGCTGCTAGGCGTGCTAGGCTGCCTGTATTGATTTTTTGGCGCGGGCAGACCGAGGCGAGGCGGCTGTGGCGCTCGCTCGGGGGTGCCGGCAGGGCAGGGGCGCGCCGGGGCCAGGCCGTCGTGCCGTCGTTACGACCCGAAATGACCCGACGCCACCCGGCGCTGCGGCCAGGCCTGGGCCAGGCGACGCGGGGGCGCGGCGCTAGGCCTACAGCCTAGCCTCCAGTAGTGCGCTAGGCCAGCACGCCGCGTGACGCTCCGCGGCAACGCAGAGAGTTCGACGCGGCGATTCTCAGCTGGCCCCGGTGCAGCTTGCACACCAGCCGGGCACCTACGCCCCCTTCGCCGCTGTGCGGAGAGCCGCGACCAGAGCGCGCCCCGAGGTGACTGGCCGGCCGCGGACCGCGCCCCGCCTGGCCCCGCCTGGCCCCGCCCCGGCTCCCGCTTGGCGAACGTCTTGGCGCCAGCAGCAGCCCGGACATATGGTGGCTTGGTACGGCCGCGTGCTGCCCGCTGACCTGTCCGGGTTGACGGCGTTCTCCTCCGAGCCAATTCCCGTGACGTCTGCCCTGCTGTACCGCCAGCCGCGGGTCGACCCCGCGACCAGAACCTCCCCGTCGAGGACCTCCCCGCCCCTGCCTTACGACATGTCCCCGCGCAGGGACCGTGGCGACGCCGACGGCCGGCGGTTTGCTGCCCCGCACCCTCACGAGGACGACGACGACGGCGAGGAGCAGCTGGACGGCGTCCGCGGCCGGTACGTTGTCGACGGATATGCACCTGCGGGACCCGCGGCGCCCACCGCTCCGTGGCCTCTTCCCGGAGCGCCGCCGCCTCTCCCCGCGCCTCGCCCGGCGTGCTACGCGTGCTAGGGGAGCTATCGAACGGCGTGAGCTTAGCCGTTCAATACGGCCAGGTGGCGGCGCCGGGGCGTGCCAGCGCAGGCCGTCGTCGCCGTGGTCCTCGTCGCGGCCACCCCGTCGCTGCAGGTGGCCTGCGTCGTGGCCTTCAAGGGCTGCAACTTGAGGGGCGTGGCACTCCGTGCGTGGCGGACCGAAATGGGACGACTGACCTTTCTCTTTCTGCCTGTGGCTGTGGTCCCTGTAGCCGGCCAGGCCGGGCCGGGCCGGCCGGGCTTGACGGCGGGGTGGGCCAGGGCGTGGGGGTAGCCGGCCGGCCGGCTGCCAAGCGCCTGGTCGCTGCTGCGCTATGTACGGGCCCCGTGCACCACCATGCATGTGTGTGAGTGTGGAGTTTTATCGATTGTCAAGTTGTTTTGGACACAGCCGGCCCTGCCGGCCGGGCTGCGAGGGCCTCGGGCCTCGGGTCGCCTCGTGCCCGAAGGGTGGCGCGCGCCGCACTCCCGAGGGACCGCACCGTGATGGCCTGCTGGATTTTAGCGGCCGGGGTGCCGTCAAAAACTCTCGAGCGTTTCCACGTAAGGCGGGCGGTGTTGGCTGCGTTGGTCGCCAAGGCGCTTACATTTAGAGGTGGCCGCCCGTCCGCAGGGGGTGGGGTGAGGATTTTCAGTGGAGGCGCCGCGAGGGGGCCACCCTAGGGAGGCCACCCTTGAGTGTGCTGCCTGCCGCCCCTTCGATCCGCACAAACGCACCTGCGGAGGCCTTAGATGTTAAGCCTGTAAAGTCCCGAAGGTTACCTCCAATACGTCAACGGCTGCGTGGGCGGTGGGCGGATGCTCTCCGCTGGGCCATGTGGCCGGCCCTTCCTGGCCCTTCCTGGCCCACCCGCGCCGCGGACGCGTCTATCGGCCGATAAGGGCGGCCGCCTAGATAACACGCCGGGCGGGGCGGGGTGCGGCAGGGCAGAGCAAGAATGTTGCGCGCCAGTGTGCCGCGGCCGTGCACGTGTGGCTGTGGCGAGCGCGGCGGTCCTGGTCCTGCCCGACCTGTGTGCCGCCACCCCGCCGTCGTCTGTCCCCGCGTCCCGCCGTCCCGGCCGTGTCAGCTGAGGGTCGCGCATCGCGGCACATCGCGCTGCGGCAGCGTAAGTGGATGTGCCGCCGGCCAGCCCGCCTCGCCGGCCTGGCCTGCGTGCTTGATGGCGGCGGTGCTGCGTGTGCCTTGCAGAGCCGTGACTGCGTCGGCGGGAATGCTGGCCGCCGTCGCGGGCGCCGCCGCGCCGCCGCCACAGCGCTGCGTCGGCCTGCTGCAAGCTGCGCGCTGCACGCGGCAAGGCCACGGACGGCGTTCCGTTTCTCTTTGTCGTCTGCTTGGCTTTGTACTGGTGCGGCCGCGCCGAGCCCCGCGGCTTCGAGTCCGTCCGAGGCGAGTCCGCGCCGAGTCCGCGGGACTGGGGCTCGGCTGCCGCGCTGCCGGCAATTGGACGGTCAACTCGGCGGGCAGGCCCGGGGCCCGGGGGCCCGCCGGGTGTCGCCCACTACTTCAAACTGCCCGTCGCCGGCCGGCCGCGCTCCCTCGCGACCCCCCGCGAACGGAGTCCAATGGCGTCGCGAGATTGGCCGGACCGGATCGCGCGCAGACTGACTCAGAGTCCCCTTTGTCGCTGTCTCTCTCGCACCTGTAGGGGCCCATCAGTGCGAGAGAGGCAGAGCGGCGAGAGCAGTGAGCGGAATCAGCCTACTGGCCGCGCACTGGCGCTAACGAGATCCACGGCGGTGGGGAAGGGAAGGGGAACGCAACTTTGTCGCCTGGTCTCTTGTCTGCTGAATGCAGCTGAGGGCTGCTGAGGGCAGCTAAAGGTGGCTGAGGGCAGCCGAAGGGCCAGGGTGCTGCGTTCCCACGATCCCACCGCGTCCCTACGACCGACCCTCCCACTTCGAAGCGGTGCGGCCGGCCGGCCGTTCGATCTGGCCGCTTATCTTGTTTATCTACCTTGGCAATCCGGTGCCTTGGCTTACGGGTGGTGCCTGCGCGTGTGGTCATCGCACCGCGGGCTGGCTTCGAACGGGGCTCCGTCTCGCACCCCTACGGGACGCCCCCCGAGTGCGCGCGAGTACACTGTTCGGAGTGAACGTGCAAGTCACGGCTGCACCGATGGGGGGCCAGCGTCCGCGGTGCTCTGCGGGGAGGTCCTAACGTCCAAACTCGGCGCGGTGGCGTGACGCGGCCTGCCCTGCCGACGGCGACCCCGCCGGCGACTCGGCTTGCTCGGCTTGCACCCCGGGGAGCAAATAAAGAACTTGACTGGCGCGAGGCGCTGCGACCGCGAGCCTGCCTGTCGTGTCGCGCCGCGCGCCGTCGCGGTTTGGCCAGTCACCCCGCGCACCGAGCACGCCAGCACGCCAGCGAGGCGCGCAGTGCGTGTCCGCGGCACGGCACGGCGCGCCCGAGGCGCTGCCCGCTGTCCCCGTTGAGAGGCTGATGCTGATTTCGGCGGCCGCGCGCCGCGGTCCGAGGGAGACGTCCCCGTCGGGCAGCGCTCGCCTCGCTCGCCTTGCAGCTCGAGAATCCGGATGATCCCCGACGTGGCCGACGTGGCCGGCGTGACGGAGCCCGTACCCGGCCGGCGCCCCTGCCGATCGCCGCGGCGTGTTTAGCGCATCGCTCTAAATTGGGGCGAGGTGGGGGCGGCGGGGCACCAGCCGGACTGCGAGACTGCGAGGGAAGTCCTGAGCCTCCAGCAGTTTCTCATACATGCTGTGCGGCCCGGTCCGCCCCGCCCGCCCTCCTCCCGTCTGCCGCCGCACTTGTCGCGTCTCTTGTCTCGCGCAACGGAAAGCGCCGAAAGGACTCGACGGGGAGGGGCACGGCCGGCACGGCCGGCAGGCACGACGGCGGTGAAGGGGGCGGGGGCCGGAGGGGCACTTGTCTCTGCTCTCGGCTGCTTTTACTTTTAGCAGGAACACTTACAACGGCACGGCCGGCAGGGGGACCGGCGACTTACGCCTCGAGTGGCGTGCATGTGCCTTGCCGAGACGAGGGCAGACGAGGGCCCCCTGCGTGTGTGTGAGGGCGAGTGTGTGCGCGTGTCGGTGTGCGTGCGTGTGCGTGAGTGAGGAAAGGAGCGCGTCCCATTCATTCCCCTCCCTGGCAATGGCGGCGTTGCCGGCTCTCCCCTCGGGCTTGGCTTGGCTCTGCTTCGCGCTGCTTCGCGCTTCGGGCCGCTTGGGCCTGGCAGGCACACTGGCAGGCCGGGCCCGGCTGGCTGGCCCGGCTGGGCCTGCATGGCGCGGTTGAGCCGCCGTGCCGCATTTTTCACCGGGCGGTTTGTTTGCGCGGCTCTGGCCAAGGGAAAAAGGGGGAGGGGGAGGGAAGGGTCCCAGGCGGCCCCGGCGATAACAGCCCAACAGCCAGCGAGTGGAGCCCATGGCCCACCCAGGCCCCCATGGCACGGCCCATGCATGCCCCATGGCGCTGGGGTGGCAGGGCAGACCTCCGACTTCTCGGGAGCTTTTGCCGCCGCCCTGCTGCCCGCCACACATGGACTGCTTCGACGTGCCATGTTTTCTCATTTTCCTTGAGCCCCTTCCCCCCTCTCCTTTTTGGGCGTTTCGCCCGGGGCTTGACGGGGGCCTTCACCACGCGGGGCCGTGGTGCTGGCCGTGGTGCTGGCCGTGCTCGTCGTGGTGCGTGGTGCCTCAGACCGCGCACCGCGGCGAGGATGGGATGGGATGGGCGGTCAGAGGGCGTTACTCTCGCGTCCCGGTCAGTGATACCGTTTGGCGTTTGCACGACGGCCGGCACCGCCGGCCGGATTGGCCTGTCGACACCACGTCGATGTCAGGGCCGCCCGTGCCCGTGCCGGTCCAGGACGCAGGGGCCGAGGCCGAGGAGCATGTCCCGGCCGGCCGGTTCGTGCCTGGCTGCCGGGCTGCCTGGCTCTCGCGGACTTGGGACTTCCCTCGGCCGGAGTTGCCGCCGCACCTAGGGCCGCGACTTCCTGGCCGGCGCGTGAGTGGGTGACTGTCTCGCCGCCAGAGCCGGCGCCGGCGCCGCGTCCCGGTTATGTTATCAGTGTGCGCGACGGGCCGCCGTGACCGTGGTCGTCTAGAGTCTTGGCGCCACCGGCACCGACTGGGCTAGACGGCCGCCGATGGCCGCCGATGGCCGCCGCAGCGACGCTAAGTGAGCCAAGTCATCAGCCCAGCCGTGGCACAGCTGCGCTAGCTGCACCAGGTGCCGTGCAGTGCCAGGCCGTGCGCGGTGCGGTCGCAGGCTGCCAGGCTGTCCCCCGGCTCTGCTCTGAGTCTCTCGCGGCACGCCACACCAGCCGCTGGCAGCACTGGCACTGGCCAGCACGCGGGTGGACGACGCGGAGGACTGACAAGCTGCTGCATCTGCCGTGTCTAATTAACCATGTTTCGTCTGTCCAGCACGGCGTCCAAAATCATCGTGGGCAACGTCCCCAACAACGTGCATCCGCCGGACTTGGAAGGACTCCTCAGCCAGTTCGGCCACATCGTGAGCATCGAGAAGATCAACACCAGGGACGGCTCCGTTCAGACCGTGGCTGTGGTCTTCGAGTCCCCCGAGTGCGCCCAACAGTGAGTGTCTGCCTGTGTTTACGTTTTGTTTTACTCCGCGAGTGTGTTGTGTAGGGGTCATTGCCTGACACCTGTTGCTCCTGTGTTGCAGGGCGTGCACCGACCTCAACGGTTATGAATACGAAGGCAACTTCATTAAAGTAGAAATGGCAATGGAACGCCGAAACAGGAACAGGTCTTCTCGTGGTCCCGGTGGCATGGCCTTCCAGGGCCCCCCTGGGGCTTCACGCCAGACAGACTTCCCCCTCCGGATTCTCGTCCAGAGCGACATGGTCGGCGCTATCATTGGCCGCCAGGGCACCACCATCCGCCAGATTACCCAGCAGACGAGAGCGAGGTATTTATGTTCATGTCAAGTTTGACTGAGTTTGGTTTGTGGCGTAGATCTTTGTTATTAACATAGTTTTCTGTTTTTGCAGAGTGGATGTCCACCGTAAAGACAATGTTGGCTCCCTTGAGAAGGCTATCACAATTTACGGAAACCCAGATAACTGTACCAATGCCTGCAAAAAGATCCTGGAGGTCATGCAGCAAGAGGCCACCAATACCAACAAGGGAGAAATCACCTTGAAAGTTCTAGCACACAACAATCTTATTGGCCGTATTATTGGCAAAGGTGGCAACACAATCAAGCGTATTATGCAAGAGACCGACACCAAAATCACCGTTTCCAGGTGGGTACTGTCATTGGCATAGTGACATCCAAAGCTGGCTATTTTAGTTTTGCTTGTAGTCGCTTGCTTTCTTTGTGCTAATTATTATTTCTGGTTTCTGATATAGTATTAATGATGTAAGCAGTTTTAACATGGAACGGATAATCACAGTGAAAGGCTCAATTGAGAATATGTCTCGCGCCGAATCAATGGTCAGCTCCAAACTGAGACAGAGCTACGAGAATGATCTTCAGGCCATGGCTGTAAGTATTGAGAAATGTTTGCTCCCACATTTATTTGCGGAATTATTAGAATTCATAAATTTCCCAGTGTGTCATGTATTCTAACCTTTACTTCTTTTTCTCTTTCAGCCTCAAAGTATGATGTTCCCTGGACTCCATCCTATGGCCATGATGTCTACCTCCAATATGAACTACTCATCAAGAGGAAGTGGTGGTTTCCCCGGCGCTCCTTATGGTTCTGGCCCTGCTGGATACCAGGGAATGTACCCGCCTGGTGGTGCAATTCCTCCCACTGGTGGCCCACCTGGCATTCCTGGCGGTCCCAACGATGCTCAGGTACGTTTCTTAAAGATAAGATATGTCTTTTTCTGTTAAGTTATTTAAAATTAAAAGTCAATATCAATGTCTAAAATTTATTTTATCTTATCTAGGAAACCACTTTCCTGTATATCCCTAATAATGCTGTAGGCGCAATCATTGGAACTAAGGGTACACACATCAGGAATATAATTAGATTCTCTGGTGCCTCAGTTAAGATTGCCCCCATCGAAAATGACAAACAAACCCCACCCCCTCCCCCACCACCACCACCACAGAATGCTCAGAATGCAGGGGAACCCCAGCCCCCTCAGGCTGAACGTAAAGTAACCATCATTGGTAACCCAGAGTCTCAGTGGAAGGTAAGTTAAATGCTATTAAATTTTAGTTGTCTGCTTCACTTGTTCCCACTCGCAGCAAAATTTCTAAATCTTTTATTTTTGTTTTAGGCACAGTACCTGATTTTCGAGAAGATGAGAGAAGAAGGCTATGTTGCTGGATCTGAGGATGTGCGTCTCACAGTTGAAATCCTGGTTCCATCAGGACAGGTTGGCCGCATCATTGGCAAGGGAGGCCAGAATGTTAGGGAACTCCAGCGTGTCACTGGCTCCATCATCAAGCTCCCAGAACAAGGATCTCTTCCTCAGGAGGAGGTTGAAACTACTGTCCATATTATTGGACCATTCTTCTCAGTGCAGGTAGGTTTTCATTTAATTTCATTTTTGCTTAATTCTTGACATGAGTAAATTTTACGTTCTTATTTGAATAGCTGGAAATTTTGGATTTCTTCTTCTCATGTGTCCCCTTTGTTTTTCCATTTTGCAGTCGGCGCAGCGCCGCATCCGTGCCATGGTGCAGACCGTCGCTCCCCCCGCGCAAACCGGTGGGCGACCACCCCGACGCGAAGGCGGCGGCAGCCATAGAGGAAGCAACGACCAGCAGTAGAGGAAGACGAGGACGAGGACGAGGACGAGGAGGAGAGGAGTGGCTGGTCCGCGCAGCGCCGCGCCGCGCCGCGCAGGCCGTGTCGCGATGCGCGTGTGGCGTGCGGCCCCTCCCCTGGCCCTGGACTTACCTCGCCACTCGCATCGCCCGCACGCGCCTGGCCGCGCCTGGCGCCTGGCCGCCAAGTGCCTGGCCGCCTAGTGATGTGCCGCATCGAGCATCGAGTCGCACACCGCTCTCTGACAGAAGCTAAACCTACTAAGTGACAACGTATTACCTCAACAAGCCACCACCATACCAAAGATGTGATACTGTGTCCAGTGTGGCCGGGCGGGGAGAGCCACCGGCTTGACTTTGCGACGATTTTAGTTTCTCTTTGTTGGTTTGTAATTTTTTTTTTATTTATGATTTTTTTGTATGATGAATTTGAAGACACTTAAAAGGGAGCGAACGTCGCGGATGGAGCCGCCAGTGGTTGGTGAATCTAGTGTCTGTGTAGAGATGCGGAATGGACGGCTGATTATTTTTTGTTTGGGGCGTAGTGGACAAATAAAAGTAGCTGTGGCCCAAAGAGTCTCAAGCTCGAGAATAATGTGCCAAAATGGGATTAGAGTTTTAAGGAGAAAGGAGCTGTTAACAGGGTTAGTTGCTGCAGGAGCAACAAAACAGACCATCTGGTGATTGTTCCTGATGGGGGCATCTGTTGCCTTGTGGAGAGAATGGGAATATTATTCGATATGGCAGGATTTCATTAGATGAATGAAACTGAAGAATCGGGCACAGGGTGCGTGCCGTCAGCCTGTGTAGATTAGATTAGTGATATGCTGGTGCACGCTACATCCTTCTGGAATCCTGCCTCTGGAATTTTCATGTCCCAGTCTCTCTTCAAGCCTGGCATGGCTTGGCCTTGTATTTGTCGACTATGCCTAATTAATATATTTTGACTTTGGCTTTGTAACTGCAGCATGGTATGAGTGCTGTGCCACAATTGCCCTCTGCTGTTGAGTGAAACTTGTAGACGGAGTAAGTACCACCGAACGTTCAAATGTTCAGTCATAAAGTGCGTTCTAAGAGATTTTAAAATAAAGTGTATAATGTGTCTCAGGGTACAATGAGGCTGAAGGAGGTGATTGAGTCGTTTAGTTAGTACAAAAACTTAAGATATTTTAAAAATATTGACAATTTTTTTAGAGAAATGGAAAAGGGATTGCTCTGATTCTGATGATCTAGCATTCCCTTTTCAGTATGTAAAGTTATACGGAAAGAAGTTTATTTTTGATACTTTGTTGGAGAAAATTTTTTTTTGTTAGATTTTTTTTTTAATATATTACAAAAAAAGGTTAAAAAATTTTAATGGCACATAGCGTTTTTTTGGCTATGTGGAAAAATGGAGAAATGACTTAACTCACACATAGGATCAAAACAGGTGAAGCCGAGCTAGTTGGAGTATTTGGTCAATGACCATTCAAGGAAAACCATATCAGTAGTTCAAAGCCAGCCGGCCCAAACCAAACGCTATAGCCTTTGAATTGAATCACAATTCTTTCATTCATTAGTTTTTTTTCTTGTCAAACTTTTGGTTCAAATTAATTTGAGAACTGCTGAATCATTTCATTGTTTCCTAAAGCAATTTCATGGATTGCTTTCCAAAACAATAATTTGAAGCATTTCATACAGACTAGACTGCTGTCAAGCCTCTTGTTTGTTACAAAATGTTCAAACCCTCCAAAGCAAAAGATGCTAAGTTTTTTGAAAGCTCACATGCAACGCACGCTAAGAGAAATGTGCATGAAGTCTTACTGTCTTAAATCTTACGGATTCAGACTGATGATGCAAACCTAGGTGGATACTAAACCATACTACAGATATTTATCTGGATACATGTTGAAAAAAAAGTGTTCCCATGAGTTAAATGTCCTTGATAGAATCACTCATTTGGAACAGCTCTTGGTACTCTTGTAAGTGCCTATGATTATAACCGACCGATGACAAGTCCCGCCTGATATCTCTCTCACTGCTCTTCTAAACGGGTGTGGCGTTTCCTAAACAGAAGTCTGGTTGATTCTTGTTCCAATGTTTATGAATGTTGTTTTCAGATGTTTATTCATGAATGAGAGCATATTTTGTTGTTATTGCTGTGTACACTAAAGCATAATTAGATGAACTATTGTATTTTTTGTGCATGTGTGTGCGAGTGAATGTGATGTGTGAATTTCTCAGGACCGCTGTTGATTATGCCGTTAAGTTATTCCTGAGGAGTTGTGAATTCCCAAGGAAGTCCTCTCCTTTCCGTTATCTTCTGTTTCAAATCAGGAAACGCAGAATCTTTCATGGAAAAAATAATGATGTTATAGTATTATTGAGCTTGAGGAGTATCAGAGTGGGATGCAATGATGCGTTGAAGCGCACCAGAATCCCCCTATAAATACAACAGCTTCTGTCTTAGATTATGCTAAGGAAATCATTAAGCCGACTACGGCCGGCCGGAGCAACGTTAAGGGTGCAGGACATGGCTCTGCTATGTCTTCAACACACTACCTCATAATTAAATAATTCTCTTATTTGAAGGAAACCCACAAATCAGAAAATTACAAAAAGACAAAAAAAAAAATTGTAATAGTTTATATGAACAGGGACAGCAGAGCATAGTACATACATTGTATACACCTGACCCATGAAATGAATCAAATCCATAGCTGTTGTGGATTGAGTTGTAATACTAGCATAAATGATCACATTGCCCTTTTTTGGTTGTTTCATGTAGATTTGTGTCAATGTGGAGCTTGCAAAAAAGCCTATAATCACTCCTTATCTTTGATGTTGTAGATTTTGATGTCCACTGCATGTGTGTACCTTAGAAATGTTTGTGAAATTATTTCAGAAATTTCTAACTCTAGAGGATCATTTGGAGGTTTCTGTAGTGCAGAGTGTTTCTCAGAACACTCCTGCTGCCCATTTTTCTGCCTTTTTCCTTCAATTACTATATCAACAGATTGTATTTTGAGTTGCTAAGAAAACTCCTCTACAACGGTTGGTATCATAACAGGTCCATTGTATTTGATTATTCAATGACAAAACACATGGTAAAATCTTGTGTTTCGTCCTTTTTGAAAAATGAACTTCTTGAAGTGGAAATTAATTTGGCTTTCATGAACTTGTCACTGAATGAATTGAGTTTATCAATTGATGAATGAACTCTGTCTGTTATGATGCCAGCCACATGATTTTGTTTTACCAAGGTAGTAATTAATAATGTATTTCATGCAAAAGTATAGTAATCATAGACATTGCCCATTGTTGGTTCTCAACTGTAAAAATACTACGCCTAGTAATTTTTTTCTGGGTTCTGTTAAGCATATTACTATAAATACGGTAGATTTTGGAGCGTTTAACTTAACTGCATCAGCATCAAGACTACTACTGGAGTGATGAGTAAGTTAACTAATGTTAGAGCAGTAAGTGCAGCCCGCAGTGTCTCAAAATGTCAGGCTGGTTGAATGGTTCTTTTTTTTTGTTGTTTTGAAAAGACTGCTGAAATAGGGCTTCTTTTTTGTATTTTCTTGGATGTGCACAAATTTGTGAAACGTTAAAATGTAAGTAAATTAGAATCATTTGGTGTGCAGGGCCTGCAGGAGAGATGTTTAAATCAGTGTTTGATTTTTATTGAAAATCAATTTTTATCATTCCTGTTTTTTCCTTGCTTTAATCATGTAGAACATGTGTATTGAACATGCTTTAATCAATGGATATTGCTTTCAATTCACATATTTAAATGGAACATGTAATGGAGTGCTTTAGATTTGGTGTATAGTTATAATTTGGAAGTTTTTCCAATAGAATGTCCTACTTTACTCCTGCAGAGCCTCTAAAATTTGATTTGCTATCATGATGTATCTTCCTTCCTTTCTTTGTGTATGTCCTCTCTCAGGTAGTTAAATGATACCTCATATTACACAGCATTCGAGCAGTTGGCACGGCTCCACAACACAGTGCGCCTGGGCTAAGCGAGGCTGGCCACACCGTTCAATCATAACAGTTCATATAACTTGTATAATATGATGGTCCATGAAACAGCATGCATTCTCCTTTTTCTACCATGAGAAATAAATTATTCTAGTTAATGAATTTGTCTATTTTCATCTAACCCTCAACTGAGAAACTAACACACCTCAGCTACGCATGTGATTTACGATGCAACCTAAGCCCTAATTCTATGGCAAAATAAGATGGTATATGATCCTATCTTAAGCATATTACATTCCCACGCAAATTTGAAAATTAAGAATGTGGCAATTGCTGTTCTGACTGCACTTGGTTATGTCTCAAAACATCTTGTTATTACTTGATTGAATCTTGGCAAGTGGGTGAACCACATTAAATTATGAAACAAAGTGGAAGTTTCAATAAATCTCTGTGACTATGAGAGTATTTGAAATTATCAATAGAGTTGATTTTAGTGTATATGCTTCTCCCACAATAGCGTCTATACTCCTTACGGCAGAGCCTTCCGAGTGTGCGCGCGGGGTAGTTCCGTTTGGGGCTGGTGTAGCCGCAGTGTGGGGTATTCGCGCGAATGGAACGGAGAGGGGAGGTTGAGGGGCATGATTTATTTGGTCTGCAAGTTGACTTCATCTGAAACATGAGACCGCTGACGAACAGAACCAGTTCGGCTTGGTACTTGCAGAATCACGCCCAGAGTACCCCAATCGAATCACGGCCTCGAGCAAACTGTCTTCGAAATAAAGCTCGATTCCACCCGACCGAGAACAACATCATCTGAATAACTCTTTGGCCGAATTATGGAAAGCAAGCTGTTGCCAAATGAACAGAAATAATTGGATGCTCTGACCAACTTCCCAACACTGGTATAAATCCGTTCTACCTTGGGACTAACTGACCACTGGCACCGGTCGGGGTATGCACCGCGAATGGATTTTAATTGATGCGGAAGGTCTAATTTAGATTAATAGCCTGCAGCAATTTTTTTTTATTTGATTTTGCTCAGGCGATGTGCAAGATATTGGACGCGCCAGACCCGTGCGCCCCGGCGTTTCCAGGGCGTTTCTGGTGGTTTCTGGTTCTGGTCCACCTGGGGGCGTTCGGCCGATTCGATGCCCCGGCGCCCCGGCCCACCTCCTGCGCTGATTCCGAGAACTGCTCTCGTCGCTCTGTCTCTCTCGCACTCAGAGGGCGTTGCCTAGGGGTCGGAGAGAGAAAGCGACGAAAGCGGTGCTGGCGATGTCGCGCCCACGCCGTCGGTTCTGGGCGCCTTGAGACCCGCGCCGTCGGCGTCTCCCCTTCCCTCTTGTCCTCCTCGGCGCGGCGGTTCGCCGCTAAAAGGCGTGAGAGCACGCAGCTGGCGCCGAGGCGACGCGACGCCGCGCCGCTACTCTACACCGACACCGACGCGACGACGCGACGGGATGACAACACAAATTGATTTCCGATGGCGGCCAATCGACGCGCGTCATCGTGCGTGGGGAGGCGGAGGGGACCTCCTTGTAGACTGCTGCTCCGAAGACTGCTTTTCTCGCTGTCTCCCTCGCAACCGTGGGGCGTTCCATAGGGGCGCTGCACGAGAGAGAGAGAGACAGAGCGACGAAAAAGACTCTCGGAAGCAGTCTGCCGGACACGCCGCGCCGACACAGTGTTGGCGACGACAAGGCCCCGGCCGGCACATGACGCATGGCGTGGCGCACGGCAGGGCGGCAGGGCGCGTCGAGTCAATCGCGAGATCAGCCCCAGGGCCCCAGGGAAGGGAAGGGAAGGCCCCCCGCGAGGCCGGAGGCCGGGCGCCGAACGCCGAACGCGAATGGTCATTCGATCGGCCGGTTCGACCGTTCGACCGCGGCGCCTTTCGGACAGGGCCGACCCGGCTCCGACCGGGCAGACCCACACAGGCTTTTCGCGTGCGGTGGTAGAGAGGGGAGGGGCTTCACCTGTTCGATGCCTCATGACACCGCAAGGAAGCAAAGGACGTGTCTTTCTTGGAGCCGGCCAACATTCGCGAGCGCGTTCTGAGTTGCGTAGGTTTGATTGTTGACTTCATAAAACTCAAATGCGCGCACGAGGACTCTTGCTGGTTCTTTTGCTCAGCCCTTACTCCTAGGTATCTGGTCCTTCTTGCGGCTCCCTCTTCGGTGACGTTCTAGACCAGTCCGACCTGGACCACCCGGAAACCGCGATGGGTGTTGCCTAGCTGCTGGGGCAAGTCGACGCTCCCCTGCCTGGGGTGCCTGGGGAAGTGCGAGACGGGCCGATCGGGCTGAGGAGGGAAAATGGAAGAACCCCACAGTGTGATGGCCCCGATGGCGAATGCTTGTCCGATACGCGGTCGACAAAACGACAAAACGGTGCGCGAACCGCCGAGTGCCGGGACAGGTGGCGCCGCCTGTCGACATCGACCTGCATTTCACTGCCACCCCGCCACTCCGGCGTGCCACTCCGGTGTGCCACTCCACCCCTGCCGAGCCGAGGGGCACACCGGCACACCGACACACCAGATTATCGGCACACAAATGCGCCAAAGGAACCATTTAATTGCGACTTTTCCTCTTTTTCGCAAAGAAATTCTCTCATAACATAAAGAAATGCAGTAAAATAAACATGATTTTACCAGTGGCACACGCAACCGCAGACTGTTTTCCACACTGACTTAGTCACCTCAACCCCAAGTCACCTCAAGTCAACTGAAACAAATTAAAGAGACTGTCGCAGAAGCTGAGCTAAAGATAGAAATGTGTTGCACTTTTGACCTAACGGACATGAGCCCAAAATCTCCCTTCGTAAGTGAGCGTCAACTTTATTCTTAAATATAGCCACATTGCGATTGCACCGTAAGGGTTTGTCGAAAGGTACAAAAGGATTTAAAAGAAAAGAAAACTCTTTCAGTTTCACCCCAACACGATGGATGTCTTGTTTGGCGGGCCGAAGCGTGACATGGAGTGGCCGCGGGGTCACAGACACGTGACACCCTGGCTGCTGCGGGGCGGGGCGGGGCGGGGCGGGGCGGGGCGGGGCGGGGCGGGCGGGGCGCCTGTCGGCGAGAGCGAGTGAGAGGACAGCAGGGCACGAGCGGGTCGATGCTCCGATTGGCCGCCTGGCTCCTCCCACGCTCGCGCCGCCACCCCATTGGCTGGCGGGGGGCCAGTGGCCGCCAGTGACGCGCCGCCCAGCCCTCCGGAGTCCGCGAGACTGCCCTTCTGCCCTGCCTGCGCGCCCTGCCCTTCGACAGCCCGGCCAGGGCGGGCACGGGGCGGGCACAGGCCAGGGGGCACAGGCCGTACCCAGGCCGCAGCCAGATCGCGATCGGTCGCGGTGGTCGATAGTCTTCGACGGTGGCCGCTGCTGCTACCGCCGCCACCCGGACGCCGAGGAGCGTGCCCTGGAGGCCGAGGCCGAGGCCACCCCGTCAGCACGTCCTGCGACGTCGCGGACGTCAGGCCAGACCTCGCGGACGCCGCGAGTCCTCGACGGCCACCCCTGACGGCCACCCCTGACGGCCACCCCTGACGGCCACCCCGGCGGAACAGCGCGGTCCACGACGACGCCCTCGGCGTCCACCGCCACCACGGACGCCACGGCGCCGCCAGCGCTGCTAGCTCTCGCCGCCATCGGTAACGGCGGGGACCCCCTGCATGGCAGCCTGCATGGCAGCGTGGCTGAGGTGAGTATCGGGGCGGGAGTCTTGTGTCTGTGGATTTACTTTTGAGGTTCGGAGCTCAAGTACCAACTTCTCGTGGTTCATGCCTTGCATTTATATTGCCGGAATGGTTCGAACGCTCTCACAGCGTTCACACACAACTCCAAGACATTCTCCGACTTGGTTCGACATTTTACTGAAATTTTAGTCAGAAGCAAGCTTATTTCGGGGGGGTTTAAAAAAATTATCTGGGGCCCCCAAAACTTATCTTAAAAGCCGTGAGTGGTCACACGTTGAGGCAGGCGCTACAAAAAACTTTGTGAGTTTGTTCATGGTAATCTAAAGATGGAAGATCCCGTGCGAGCCCAAGTGCCGTGAAAATGTGGTGACGGCTTGGCCGGCGGGTTGCTGTGCTAAAGGAGGTGCAATTTGCCCGGGGTTTAAGATGATTGCTTTGGGGGGAACGCCCCAGATAGATCTTTAATAGGCCCCCTCCCCTGTGACTGTGGGGGCCTAAACAGCCTCTCGAGTGGGCTCCTGTTGAACTGCCTGGAGTGCTCGGCCCGCGAGGCAGAGCGCGAAAATTGTTTGGGTGTGTCTCTCCATGTTTGTGTGGCCGGACGTCCCAAATGCGAGGAGACAGGGGCCCCTGACATGTGGTTTGACGGGCCGGTTGTCCGGCCGGGCGGCGCCCCCGGGGGGCGACCTGAAGGCAGGGGCTGCCTCCCCATCCGTCTGCGGCGCTGTTCAAGGTGCCGCTGGAGACCGAGGAGTACGCCTCGCAGGTAGGCAACCCTCGGCCGTCGCGGCTCCCGTGTGCCGCGGGCCGGCCTACCCCGCCTCTCGCAGGGGCTCTGGCTGCTCTGGCTGCTCTGGCTGCTCGCTCTGTCTGCAGGCTGATTCCGAGCGCGGCTTTTGACGCTCTCTCTCTCTCGCTCCGTGGCCGGACGCCCCATGAGTGCGAGAGAGACAGAGCGATGAAAACAGTGCTCGGATTCAGCCCACCGGCTGCTCTGGCTAGACTTGTCCGGCCGGTGCGGCGCCGCCCGGCTTGGCGACCTGAACGCGCGCGGCTGGGTTCCCCGCCACCCTCAAGACAAGGCCCAGAGCGTCCCGGTCGCACTCCACGGTGCACTCGTCCACCGTGTCCAGGGAGGGAAGCACTGCCGAGGTGCGTTTAGTTTAGTTTGCTGCAACAGTTGAAGGCGGCAAAGGTTCCACTGGAGTTATTTCTATCCGTATCAACAAAGGGACGGCGACAGGAAGTCTCCTGCTGCTGGCGCGGCCTGCATTTTGCAGTGGCCCGGCCGTCGGGCCGCGCACTATGCGCCGTGTGCCGTGTGCGCCGCGCCGTAATGGAATAACGTGGAATAATCGACAAGTCGATGCGCCTCGTCGCTTGTCGTGTCGCTGTCGCCTCCATTATTCCTCCACCGATAAGTCGCCTGCAGAATGACTCCGAGAGTCGCTTTCGTCGCTGCGTCTCCCTCGCACCTATGCGGGACGCCCCAAGAGTGCCAGAGAGACAGAGCGACGAAACCGACTGTCGGAATTATTCTGCTGCGATGAGCGGCGGGGCACGGACGATCCGATGGCCACCCGATGTCGGCCGCCAGTGAACACCACAGGTGACGGCGCACAGTGGGCCAGAAGACCGGTGGAGGCGGACAAAACTCCAGACGCGTTTTGAGCTCCAGAGTTGCTAAAAGGGACTCGAACCGGACGTGTGACCCCACCAATGGATTGCTCTCCGAACGAGGAATCCATTGGTGGGGTCACACGTCGGGTTCGAGTCCCATTTAGCGACTCTGGAGCTCAAAACGCGTCTAGAGTTTTTTCCTTCTCCACCGGTCTTCTGGCCCACTGTGCGGCGCGGGCCGATGCCGCTCGTTAAAACATGCAGTCGGTGGGCTCATCCAGAGCAGTGTCTCTCTCGCACCCCTACGGCCCTGCCGGGCAACCCACGAGTCGGAGAGGGACAGGGCGATGAGGGCCTCCTTCGGAATCAGTCCGCTGGTCCCCGCTTGGGCGGCAGGCTCGGACTGGCCCCCAAAAGGCCCAGCGGATAAGACCGCAAAAGGCCCCGATCATCATTAGTTTTTACCCTTCATGACCAAAACTTTAAGGCTACCGTTCCCAAACTAGTTGCGGTCAATAGCATCTCGCGATACAAGGAACGAAAGAGTTGCGTCTGTAAAATACTATGACGTCGAGGGAGGCCTTTACGGCTACTAGATTGACTCAGGCCGTACAAGTGAGCAAAATCAGCAAATTTCCGAGATTCGACCACTTTTTGACAACTTGGTCGGAAAATCGTTGCGGTCAAAGCCAAAATCGTTGTGGTCAACGTCTCCCGTACAGGGCATGAAAGAGTAGGGTCTTAAGAATACTATGACGTCGAGGGGCCTTTTACGGTATAGAATGGACTCGTGGCCGCCAAAGTCAAAAATTTGTAGAACAGCGAACAAGAGTTCGCTACATCAGAGTCCTAAATGCCCTGAAATAGCGAATTTGCTCGTTATTCCAGCGAATTTTCCTTCAGCAAACAGATGTTCGCTAAAATAGCGAAATATTTTTTTTCCGTGCCCCAGCGGATAAGACCGCAAAAGGCCCCCGATCATCATTATGTTTTTACCCTTCATGACCAACTTTGTAAGGCTACCGCTCCCAAACTAGTTGCGGTCAATAGCCCTCGCGATACAGGGAACGAAAGAGTTGCGTCTTAAGAATACTATGACGTTGAGGGAGGCCTTTTACAGCTACTAGATTGGACTCAGTGGCCGCACAAAGTGAGCAAAATCAGCAAATTTCCGAGATTCGACCACTTTTTGACCAACTTGGTCGGAAAATCGTTGCGGTCAAAGCCAAAATCGTTGTGGTCAACGTCTTCCCGGTACAGGGCATGAAAGAGTAGGGTCTTAAGAATACTATGACGTCGAGGGAGGCCTTTTACGGTTACTAGATTGGACACAGTGGCCGCCCAAAGTCAGCAAAATCAGCAAATTTCCGAGATTCGACCACTTTTTGACCAACTTGGTCGGAAAATCGTTGCGGTCAAAGCCAAAATCGTTGTGGTCAACGTCTTCCCGGTACAGGGCATGAAAGAGTAGGGTCTTAAGAATACTAGGACGTCGAGGGAGGCCGTTGGCCGCAATTAGATCGGACGCAGTGGCCGCCCAAAATCAGCGATAACGTCTACTTTCGTCCTATATGCTAGGACTCTTTGACCAACTTTGTGACGTTGCTGGTCCCAAACCCGAAAGGCCCCGGCAGATTTTGCTGCCTGTCTGCCCTGGCCAGTCCGAGCCTGTTGGGCGGACTGCCGGGCCCGCCGCAATCATGGCTTCCGAGGCCAAAAACAGTCCTGCCCCCGCGCCACGGCTCGTGCAGCAGATCTGCTATCCTGCTCGCGCGTCGCCGTTGAATTTCAGATAGAGAGGGAGACTTGGCGTGGACGTTCGAGGTGCGAGGGGCGTGTGCAGCCAGTGCGACAGTCGATCAGCGAGGTCGATAGACTCGGTGATGCGGGGCAATGCACGAGTGCGAGAGCAACACTACGCCGGGGCGAAAAAAAATCACTCCGATTGCTGCGAGGGGCGTGTCATGGCAAAGGCCAAAATCCGACAGAGCAGTTTTTGTTTTTCGAGACGCAACGCAGTGTCGTGTGCCGGGGACGAGTGCACGTCAGTGGGCAGTGCGTATGTGTGTGTTTACACTGCAGTGCAGACATCCCCAAGCGCCAGTGCGCCGCGTGTGTGTGCGTGAGTGTGTGCGCCAGCTCCTCGATAACAATGCCGCGCCACACACACACACACACACACACACACACACTAATACAAACGTAGCCTGAGACTGACGGCGAAAGGTCGCCTTGTGGTTTGACATCGATTGCACTCGTGTCATACCGTGTCATGGCGTGGCCGTCCGGCCGTGTCGTGTCCGCACGCGCACGCAGTTACACGCACCGTGGCCACCCACTCTCGCTGCACGCGCTGCACTCGCGCCATCCGGCGATCCGCATTTCCGCCTTCTTTCGTACCGTTTGGCTTCTGCCCCGCGGCTTGTCAGTGCAGTGGTGGGCCAAGGACGGCAATTCGGTACTTTACGAACGGGAAGCCGTTGACAGGTGGTTTGCAAACTGGCTGCGGAAAAATAATCGAAGAAAAAAAATGAACTGTAGCAAAATGGGAAAAGTGCATAAGTGAGAGAGTGGCAGGTGGAAGCGTGGCTGTTGGTGGCGAAGCAGCGAAATTCAGGAAGAAGACCCTTTGGCCCTCTCAGCCCTTGCTAAGACCATGCAAAATAAAATACAGGAAAAGATTGAAATGCAATTTCTAGTCCAACGCGCGGCCGTTGGACAAACAGGTGCCTTGTTTGCGCCGCGATCCCGCAATCCGTTCCCCTCTTATCGCGCCCCTCAATTTGATATCAATTTGACATCGCTTTGACTTTGGAGTGCGGGGCTGCGCGGCGGGGGAAGGGCTGCTCGCTAATTGGAGGTCCCACCCCGCCCCGCCCCGCCCCGCCCCGGCCTCGGGGTGGTCCCGGCGTCGCTCGGCTGGCCGCGGTGCTGGCCACCTGTCCGGCGTTGTCCGCGCGCTCCGCGCTCCGCCCTCCACGTCGCGGCCGTGCCGGTGGCCGTGCCGGTGGCCGTGCCGCCAGGTGGTCTGCTTCCACTGATCATTCATATTGCAGACCACGCGACGGCAAAAGTCATCTAACAAGCCACAACACGACACGCCCCGGCGGCCCGGCCGCGGCCAATGCCGAACGGTGCGGTCTCTTCGTTCTGTCTGTCTCTCTCACTCTCACTGGGCGCTCCCTACGGGTGCGAGAGAGACAGGTTCAGCCTGGCCGTCAATAATGCGTGCGGACGGGGTTCGCGACGCGGCCGCCGCGGGTATCGGTATCCGATCGGGGTTCGCGGTGTCTTTCGACGTGCCGCCTGATCGAGCTTCCCGAGGTTATTTTCAACTTGGCGCAAAGTTGGTCGCGCGCACGGATGAGGGAAGTGTGGGCCCGGGCCGTCCGGACAAGCGTGGACGCACAGTGTGATGGACGAGGAAGGACGCGCCATGCGGCATTCCGCCAGGCGGCCATCAAAGCCGCGTTACCTCGCGTCCCCGCCTTGCCACCCTTCCGCCTGGCCTCGCCACTGCCTTCCAGCTTCCAGCCTGGGACTGCCGCCGAGCCTGATGTCTTTGGCGCCTTGCGATCCGCGAGGTGCACCGAGTCCGTTCACAGTGTGGTGCTTGTTGCAGCGGTGATGCACCCCCGCAAGGAGGCGCTGTGCCGCGTGTGCGGCGACAAGGCGTCCGGCAAGCACTACGGCGCGCCGAGTCCGTTCACAGTGTGGTGCTTGTTGCAGCGGTGATGCACCCCCGCAAGGAGGCGCTGTGCCGCGTGTGCGGCGACAAGGCGTCCGGCAAGCACTACGGCGTGCCGAGCTGCGACGGCTGCAGGGGCTTCTTCAAGCGCAGCATCCGCCGGTAAGAGAGCCTCTACCAAAACGAGTTTGCTGATGACGACGTGATGACGGCATGGAAACCTCTAAACTTGTTGAGTTGCAGACTGCCAATTTACTGAATCACCGAACTCCCACTGACGACGCGAACGCTCGGACGCCTCTGTAACCCCTTCCATGTTGCCAGGAGCGTCGACCGCCTCATACCATTTTTCTTAATTTGACTGCTCTTGCATGACGAACCTTCAACGACCGCAGCGCTTAGAGGACCGACGACAGGGACAAGACCCTCTGGCTCGAGGCAAGTGCACCGTGTGCACACTCCGCACACCCCACCGGGGCAGCACCGCCCGCCCAGCACCGCCATCGCCTATTCATGGACCAATTAAAACTACATTACCCCCGCGACTGCAGATCGGCGCTCGGATAATCGATTGCTCGATTCGCATCCTTCGAGGATGGCGATTAAAAATTCTCACCGCTCGGGCAGCCGGGCGAGGGAGGAAGGCTCGCGTGAATGGTATGCGAGGGAGGCCGCGCAGCTCGCGCAGCGGGCCGACAGACTGCCGCCGTAAGTCACCAAGCCGTCCACGACAGTGTGCGTGTGTGTGTGTGTGCGTGCGTGTGCGTGCGTGTGCGTGCGCGCCGGCTGCCAGGACTGATGCCCCACGATACGACGGGCTGCCTGCGACGCCCCTACGGCCCACGGCCCTCCAAACCCACCTGGCCTGACCCCGGGATGTGGGGGCAGCATTGGCAGCCCATCCGCCCGGACGCCATGAGCCTCGACAGCCAGCTCCGTGACCTGCAGCACGCCAAAACGCACGCACACACGCGTACGCAGCTCACACCCACTCCGACAAACTCACTCACACGTTCACACGATTTATCACAGACGGGCCACTTGCTACTTACGGAACCGCCTCGACAGCACCTCCAGGAAACTTGTACTGGCGGACTTTGTCACTACCGGGCTTTCGAAAAATCGTCTGACACTAACAAAAAAATCCAGAACTTAAATTGAGCCGCGAATACACAGTTTTCTATTTGGAATTCTTTGCAACCCAAGAAAGCCTCAGTAAAAAAATTAACTCAAACTAATTTAAAATTGAAAATGAAAAAGCCCACGGCAAACAATTATAAAATTATCTAAAATGTAGACACTGTCATCTACACAGTAAAAAGCACTATCTTTTAACTCCCGCGTGAATGGCTGAGCGATATGAGTACTGTCGTACGTGCTCGCGACATTACAATCAGTAATCAGCTTAATATTTTTTTAAATATATATTGTAAAAATTCTAATCGCGTCGCGTTCGGAAAATAAATTCTAAACTGTGAAACTAAACCGCCGGCTGTACGATAACTTCCGATCGACGGGTCCAACTACTTTTCGTTTTAACTTTTCTTTTAAACGTGTACGAAACGGACAGTGAGACAGCCAAATCATCCCGACGGAATGATGACACGTCTGAAGGCTACACGCCCTGATTCGTGCGCGACCAAGGCTCCGCTGTCGCTCAGCCACAAACTTGTTTGTACTGCAACCTCTCTGTACGAAGTGCATGCCAGCCTGACTGTGACACCCCTCCCCCTTCCCCTCACCCCCGAGTGCGGTCGTCAACGGGACAGACAAACACGCAAGACCCCTAGCTTCTCTTGCAGACCACGACTGTGTACCGAGGTAGATCAACTTTCGCTGTACTATACGGTACCAACATTTTTATTCAAACCACGACTAAAATTTGACCAAAATTTACGAGTTTATTTTGAGAACGTATTTATGACTTTGCTTCTGGTGACATGAGGGAACAGTTCGAAAAATAACTATGAAAGTTGGTTTCTGTTCTTTAGTTGATCTTTCCTTTTTTTTAATCGATAAAAGTGAAAAGTGATGTACTGCAGGCTTTTACCAGGCGTTGAAAAACGAAAATCAAGCAAACGCTAATGGAGAGAGGCCGCGTGAAGTGTCGAATGTCAGTGTAAGGTATTAGGCGTGATTTCCGGACGCAATGTAATTTCAGCCGGCGTGCCGTCCACGCAAACAGTCGCAGTGTCGCTCGCCGGGGTGGATCAACAACCCCTCCCCCTCCCCCGGCGCCACTAACAGCTCGCAGGCGCCGTGTGTTTACCCTTCGCCACCGGACAATGCGGCCTGGGACAGCCTACGCGCTGCCTAGTCGGCGGGGAAGAACGGCGAGGCGCGGCGAGCGGGAAAGAGGTTGGCTTTCGAGAGGCAACAAGACAACTGGCTGCGAGCGAGGCTCTGCCAGGCTCTGCCGCCGCGCCTGCCGCGCTGGCGCAAGGAGGTCCCGACCCCTTGGACGAGCAGCGACTGCCGGAGACAAGTCTTTTGTCGCCGCCCTGGATGTGCTTTCCCTCGCGGCTCCACGACAACTAGGGCGGCAAGACGGCAGAGGGGCGTCAAGGTTCGCGCCGTTCGCGGCCTCGCTCTTCCTCCCCCCACCCCTCCCTCACCTACCTCGGCGACCCTTCCACACCGCCAGGTCTCGCGTTCGAATCCCGGCCCGCACTCTCCCTTTCGTGTGTCTGTCTCCCTGTGCCTCCGGCAAGGCCTCCGGCCTCGACGGCCTCCGGGAACCTCCCCCTGACGCATCTCGGCGTGCGCCCTGTGCAGGAACCTGGCCTACGTGTGCAAGGAGGGCGGCAGCTGCACCGTGGACGTGAGCCGGCGCAACCAGTGCCAGGCCTGCCGCTTCCGGAAGTGCCTCGAGGTCAACATGAAGAAGGACGGTAAGTGTAAGTCGCGGGGTTCAAACACTCCAACCTTTTTTTTTTTGCACGTGCTCGCACAGCGTCGCGCTTTCTTTTTCCCCCTCATTACCGCGTGCCCGGCGGCGTTGTCTGTTTTGTTGACTCATGCAATTAGCGGGCCCTACACTGTGGCCCCTACAGTGTAGCCCCTACACCGCACCGTACCAGTGTCGGCCGTCGGGCCCGTCGGGCCGGCCAACTTTTGTCGCGCCTCTTTCTAAGCAAACACGGTGAGTATCGCCCTGTCGGTGCCAGCTGGGCGCCTCCCGCGCACGGCGCGCGCCCTGCAGGCTGACGCTCCGTCTCCGTCGCACTCACGGGGCGGCCCGTTGGCCCGTAGGGGTGCGAGAGAGACAGAGCGACCGGCTGGCTGGCCTCCAGCCCGGCCCGCTGTCCGCCCTCCGCCCTCGCCACGTAACCTCCACTCAGCGACGACGACGCCGCGACTCAAGGCAAGGCTCTCGGCAAGCCGGCAAGCCTCGGCAAGCCCCGGCAAGCCCCGGCAAGCCGAGGACCGAACGCAACCAGCGCAAGTGTGGCTGGCAGGCCGCGGCTCCCACAAAGAGGCGACAAGAGAGAGAAAGGGAGAGGGACTCGGAGAGGGAGGGGAAAGGGGGTATCGGAGTTTGATCGCTTCATGCGGCGGGGCTGGCGGGGCTGGCGAGGCTGTCGGCGCGGGCGGGGTGATGCACCCTCGCCGCCGCCCCGCCCCGCCCCGCGTTAGATGACTAAAATATGACACCTTTTAAAGCGGCGTGACGCGCGCGAGTGCCGCCTGGCTGGGCGCGCACCCTTTTTATTCATTTTTCTCCAGGCTTGGCAATGTCTTCATCACTATGAAACGATGCACCCCCCTCGACGCCGACGGCAAAATTCGCCGCATTGTCCGCCGCAGAATTTACGCAAGGTCACGGCGTGTTTTCGGTTCCGTGAGTCGTTCGTCGCGATGCTCTTCCCGGGACCCCGCCGCTCGCACGCGCCACCGCCACGCGCCCGGCACGCGTGTCAGCTCGCACAGGTGCCGGCTCGGCGGCACGGCGGCACGGCGGCACGCGCGTGACGCGACCCTGGACGCGTGTCAGGCGCAATCACTGCCCTCTGCTACCCCGCGCTCCGCTTTGCCCCGCTGCCTTACACCTGCGCCATCATTTATTCACGCGTAACGAGATGCCTGTCCGCAGATAATACCCCGCCATACTGGACATGCCCCCGCAAGCCGCAAGCGGACAAAGTCCGGCCAGTCCAGCACGCGAAGCGCGAAGCCAACTGTGCTTCGTCGGTCTGTCTCCGTCGAACCCGCATGGGACGCTCCATGAGTGCGAGAGAGACAGAGCGACAAATCTGTTCGGGATCAGCCCGCTGGGGACGGGCATCCGAACCATGGCAGACTCAACCGCCTCAACCGCATGCCTTCTTTGTTTTACAGCGGTGCAGCACGAGCGCGCGCCGCGGTCGCTGCCGCCCAGCCTGCACGGCGGCTTCCACGGCGGCCTCCATGGCGGCGTGGGCGTCGGCATGGGCTCGTTCCCGCCCATGTCGTACGCGCTGCCCCGCCGCCACGGCCCCTCCCTGCAGGGCCTGTCCGGCCTGTCCGGCCTGTCCGGGGGCCACCCCATGGCGGCCGCGCCCTCCCCCTTCTCGCCCGGCCTGGGGGTGGGGCTGGGGACGGGCCTCGGCGGCATGGGGCTCAGCGGCCTGGGGGCCAGCCTGGGGGCGGGCCTGGGTACGGCGTCCGCCGGGGGCGGCGCGGGGGGCGACATGCACGCCACCGTCATCCTGTACCCGCCGCCATCGCCCTTCAAGCCGGGCATCTTCGACGGCCACACGTTCGGTGAGTACTACTGATGCGCAAGGAAGGGCTTTATTCCCAGTGCCGTGGACGTCGTCCGGATGCCAAGCGAACTCCCCACGTCTTTCCCGCAGGCCTGCCCCTCGCCTTCCAGCCGTTCTCACCCACCACGCCCACCGCCGCACCGGGCCCCAGCAGCAGCCCCGGGACCGCGAGGTCGCCGTTGAAGCGCGAGAAGGAGGACGAGGTGACGAGCTCCGAGGAGGCGCGCAGCCAGCCGTCGCCGGGCAGCCTGGCCGCCAACGGGGCGGCCCCCGCCGCCGCCCCCTCCGCGGCCACCGACCTGCCGAGGCTGACCCCCGTGACGGTGTTGGCCAGCGAGCAGGCGCTGCCGCCACTGCCCCCGGGGACGGCGCTGGGGCCGCCGCCGGCGTGCTTCGACAACGTGTACGAGTCCGCCGCCAAGATCCTGTTCCTGGCAGTCAAGTGGGCGCGGAGTATCCCCGCCTTCCTGCAGGTGCGTCAAATTGTTTGAAATCGTTGCGGCAGCTCAACCTTCCGCCACTTGGCCCGCTGACCCTGACCCACTCTGTCTGAAGCTCTCGGGGGCCGACCAGTCCGTGCTGCTGGAGGAGGGCTGGCCCGACCTCTTCGTGCTCAGCGCGGCGCAGTGGCAGCTGCCCGTCCACCACGGTAAGAACAAGAACCACTCGGGGTGGTCATTGCGCATGCCCTTCGGCACCTTCGGCAACGCCATTGACGTCCTCGCTGTGCACAGAGTCCTTGGTGGCGGGCGCCGTGTCCCCGCCGTCGCGGCGGTCCGCCCTGGCCGAGGACGCCCGCCGCCTGGAGGAGGCCGTGGCGCGCTTCATCGTGCTGAGGGTCGACCACACGGAGTACGCCTGCCTCAAGGCCCTGGTGCTGTTCAAAGCCGGTAAGTAGTATAGTACCCGTGGCGCGGAGGGAAGAGCCCGCCGAGCAACTCGAACCTCGTTACAGTTTCCCTTCACCTGGCGCCCCGCGCTTGTTCGCGTTGCAGAGGCGCGCGGCCTGAGCGACGGCCTGCAGGTGGAGGCGCTGGCCGACCAGACCCACGCCATGATGTCGGAGTACTGCTCGGTGCGCGGCCGCGCGCGCCTGGGCCGCCTGTTGCTGCTGCTGCCCGCCGTGCGCGCCCTCAGCTCCAGGTCGCTGCAGGAGCTCTTCTTCCGACAGACGGTGGGCGACGTGCCCATCGAGCGCCTCCTGGGCGACATGCTCAACAGCCCCTGAGCCCCGAGGACGCCGACGACGACGATACCCCGTGAATCACCTGGCGGCGATACTCTGCTGCGCCGCAGGGAAGACAGAGACAAAAAGGACTAGCTTCTCAGTCTCCGCGGCGTATCCATGACCTTCCTTCAGCTGGTGCTCAGCAGCGAGGATTCTGCCACACTGCCACTGACTAAAATTATGTGCAATTGAGTGTTAAAGTAGTGAGTTTCCCATTGATTTCAGCCATGCTATTTGCCTGCTCACAGGCGTTTGTCTCAGAAATTGCCTACATACAGGCGTTTTCAGCTAAAATCTAAGTGAGTGTGAGCTGTGTGTGCAGGCCGGGTGCGCACAATGAGTGCAAGAAGTGGCAGACCCCTTGTCAGCAGAGTGTTACGCTGCGAACCTGTGTAATTTGTCTGGGTCGAGTGTATTATGCATTTATGTCGTTTCATTTTAGCCTTGGTAACGATTGTAAAAAAAAAATCATGTATAAAGTGTACAAACAGAAACCGAAGCAATACAATGTTCTTGACTGTTGTTTTGTGTTCGTCATTCACCTCGCTCCATCGATACGCACGTGGCTCGAGGCAGTGATTGGAGGTGGCGCATCCATTCACATCAAATTCGTCTATATGAGTGCGAGAGAGACAGAGCAACGAAAACGACTCGCGGAATCAGTCAGCAGAAAATTTCGCATTCACCGCGCGTCCCGTTCCACTTACTGTACCGCGACCGCGAGCGGAGCACAGAGCAGCGCCCGCGGATTCGGGGATAGGCATCCTGCACAACATGAATGACATCCCGTGGGCTTTTCCTTTCCAGTCGTCAGCCGCACTGGCCCGAACTATGGGTCAAAGTGGACTCGACTCTCTTTGAGACTGAGCTCCATAATTTGCTCCGAAAATTCCAATACCATTTCGAGTTATTCGGTGACTTTCCCCGTTGTGAGGTTGTTAAGACGCGTTTGTGACGTCACAAGTCTCCCACCATTTCGCCCCCTGATCTCATTTCCATACGTCACTTGAGTGGCGTCTGCTGGAGGTTTTAGGTCATGGCCGGTTTCACATACAGAGGGACATCTGGTCGAAAACAATGGCAAGTGCGACGAGGTAAGGCTTTTCTCGAAGGAAACATCAACTGTTTTCAAACCAGGTCTCTTTTAGAAACAAAACCCATTGAAATTGTCTAACTTGAAAGGATTTCCCTCCGTGTTGTCTATGTTTTCATGCGCGTCCTAACCTGACTTTTTTATTTGATGTCTTTTGAATGATTGTATTTTATTCTTGTGTCCTTCTACCTTAATTGGTTGTCATTTTCATCTTCGAATGCGGTAGTGCCCATCACATAGACTTCGTATTAATTCGTACTTTATTGAAAAGTCCACTTTCTGAGACCTGTTTAAACTTGTCTCTTGACTGGCTTGTCATATTATTTTGTTTAGTATTTCTACTTTTTAATTTTTTGGGTACAGATGCTGGGTACGAGACTCTGTATGGATTGCGTGGTCAGCTCGCTAAGGATGGCTGTGCCGATTCACAGTTTGTTATAGCCAAGGACCTACTGCAAGATCAAGCTGGTGAGATATATTCTTTTTTTCTGTTTTATAATTGTATCACAGCATAGCTTTATTGATAAATTAACTTTCAAAATGCAGGGGATAAAGAGGAAAATGCCAGACAAGGAGTATACTGGTTAATTAGAGCATCAGAACAAGGCAATGAAGAAGCTACGCACACTTTGCAAGAATGTTTGGAGAAGGGGCAAGGTTTGAATTGCTCCACTCTATTGGTTTTAAATATTGATTAGGGATAATGTCACTCAAAAGTATTCTATTTCAGGAATCACAGAACTAAATTTCCCCGACGTCAAAGCCTGCCTAACCATGCCTCAAGAGGAAAAAATAGCTCGCAGAGCAGCGCGTAAATTGTTTGAGAGGTAAATTTAAATTGTAATTTATAAGCTCTTAAATTCTCTGGAAAGCAACTTATTTGATGTACTTATGATTCCTAGGTTGTCAGCTGGAGAAGATTATATTACTAGTGAACAATTAATTCGTGAATTTCAAAGAGTGAAACGTGCAATAGACATCTCAGCCAGTCATCGCAGATGGTCTTTCAACCATCTCACATTTGGTTACAATCCTACGGAACCATATAGCAATCCTAGAAATACTGCTAGACCTCTCGAAGGTATATCAAACAAGGATACAAAAGCTAATGGGGTGAATGGTTCCTCTTTTGACCACCTAAATCATGCCAGTGATGATGAGGATAAGCCTGGCACTCATTCTGAAGGTATTTGAACATCTCCGAATTATCTTCTAGTCTATTCTTTGCTTTTATGTTGAGTTACATCCAAGTTACATAAGTGTTCACCTTCAGATTGGGCTGGTCGAGCTGATCCACCGGGAGAAAAGTTGTCAGAAGAACATTTAATATCTGCTGCTGTGACCTATGCTCATGGAGAATTGCCCCTTGTGCAGAGAATGTTTGATCTTCAGAGGCCTCCACCAGCCTTATCTTTGAACCCACTAAATATTATTTCTTATGCCTATGTTTCTGTTCTTTCTGCTATTGGTACACATCGTACCCTTATTAGTCGTCCACTGGTGTCAACTACACTTCAGGTAAGAGAAGATTTAGATTTTTTTAAACCCTGCCTTCTGTTTAGCTTTAAGTATCTTATATAACAACATTTTTTCTATAATTTTAGGTTCTTCTAGCACTAATTGTTTACAATTTAATTGAGTCCGTGGACTGGGCAGCAGTAGTCCCTGTTGCAGTATATCATGGCTCTTTCATGGCAATGATTATATTTACATGTCAGGTTGGTATATTGAGATACACCACTTGCTTCATTATTATCATCACACTTGGTTTACACCTGAACATTTTTATTTTCTTACAGATGTTACAGCATCGTCATGAGTTTCAGCACTTCAGGGTCTGGTCAGGTCTCTTTTTGCGTTACAGTGAGGGTAGCCTCAATCCAGATGAAGCAGAATTCCAGTATTGCAAAAATAACTTGAAACCATATGCTCACTTCTTTGTTGCTCTGATGGTTAATTTAATGGTGAGTGAGAGATTAACAGTTTTGTTAAATTTTTTATTTGTGCTCTGCAGTGTGCCACTCTGTGTAACCATATTAACCTAAATTAATTTTTGTGGTTTCAGATCTATCCTCTTCTTGCCCCTCATTGGACTCCTCACAGTGAGCTCACTGTGTTGGCCTCAAGTCTGATGTTCCTGTCTCTCTATGCATTCCTCAACTCTGTACCACAACCTTTAGGAATTCGTCGCCCTTCAAATTTTGAATTCCCTCGGAAGCAACCCGACTTTTTAGTGTTGTTTTCCTTTGCTGTAAATGTTCTTGCCAAATATCCTTATGATTTGGATTCTGTTGTGACTCAAAGTTGGAGATTTCTTGATGTTAAGGTAGTTCCTATGTATCATTTGTTTTGGCTTCAGTCTTTTTATTTTAAATTTTGATTTTTACAGTAGTTTAAATTTTGATGTTTTGAATTTATCCTTTTTCCTAGATTCCCACTTTTCCATCCTATGTCATAGGACATGGCATTGAGTTTTGTCTGAACTTTCGGGCTGTGTTTTATCTCTTGATGCCAGCAGTATTCTTTAAGATTGCTGCCCGTGATCGCTGGCGAGGAACATACAGGACTTTGATTCCTCACTGTGTAACTTTGGCCTGGTGGCAAATTGCTGTACTAACTGCTCAAGGCAGCACCTGGTACGTGTATTCATTAGACTATAATCTAGTAGCGTTCAGAACATCTATCCTTTGTTAAGATATAATTCATGCTCTTCTTTCATTTTGTCACAGGTATGGCCTAATTAGGGCAGCTCTAGCCCTTGTTGGCGTGGTTCTATTTCTTCCACTTGCTGGTTTGGCAACAATTCTGTTGCCTCTGGCTGCGGCAATACAAATGTGGTATTTATCTGCTGGAAGGGAAGTTCTACAAGCATCAGCCACAGCCCTTGCTGCTACTCCACTGCTTATTCTCTTGTGGTTGCGTGGACGCAAGAGCCCACAAGGATCTCATCCAGCTCGATTAGCTAAAGGGGCCATAATTTTGCAGGTGAGTTGTTAGTGTTTTCCGCATAGCTGGTCCATTCATCATTTCTGTAATAATTCATTTGTTGTTTGCCAGATTATTATTGCAGTGGGAGCTGCCATATTACTAGTAACTCCTGCTTTTATAAATATTGATGCAGACAATATACATAGTCACTCAGATTCAGAACCACATGTCATTGGTAGTGTTGTCGACCGAGAAGTAAACAATGAAGTGCTGACATGGGAGCAATTTGAATCAATGTGCCACAGACCAGCATGGGAGCGAAGTACTGTGGCACATGTGCAACAGCTTTGTTCTCCTCTTGAAGGTTGGTACAGTACAGCATGATATACTTTCAGAAGCAAAGAAAATGCTTGTTCTCATATAATTTATGTCTTTAGGGGTTCGAGTCAAGTGGAATGGGTATGTGTCAAATGTCAAAGTCACAAGAGTTCGCAATGCATGGGCAGATATTGTCAACCGTTTACCGAGCTCTTTGGGATCCATGGTTGCATGTGCGATTGCTGGCAATACTTTGAGCCAATCTTCAGATCATTGCAGCCCTACTTTATATCCTACACCTTCCGATCAACAACACTGCAAACGTATCTTGCAACTCTCCAGTCACACTGGCCGATGCTCATTGACAGATTGGGACAGGTAATTTAATCTTTGCAACCAAATAAATATATTTTATTTTATTTTGTGTAAGTAACACTATTGTTCTGGCGCATAGGTACGATTTTGAGTTGGAAGTGCAAATGAAAACGGGCCTGTGGGGAAAGTCTACCGTCGACGTTTATTTGACTGCTGGTGATTCATTCCGAAACATGACATATCACATCCGGCAGGGAGACCACATTTGGTTTGGAGGGTCAATTACACATCTTGGACCTGAACCTCGAATACAGTTGGAAACCATGGGATGTCTCCAATGTGAAAGGGGTCCTATTTTACTGTGGGAAAAGACGCTTGAAGGTTTTACTCTGACAGCAGCGTTTAAATACCTTTATGTCTGTGTTAGGTTCATTCTTAATTGCTTGTTAAATCCAATTGTCAATTTCAAGTAACATCAAGATGAGATGTGATATAAACATACGATGTATGACTCCTGAAAAGCTTCAGGAAGCACTAATTTTACATGGACATAGACTAGAAGGTTTTACTTCAACTAATTGTGTGTGTCTGCTGTGATATTTGGCAATACTGTATGATGACATTTTTTTGTTTTCCTTTACAAAACCATTGAAATTAGTATCTTTTAATCTTCTTTGAGTGAATCTTGCCTTAATGAAACTGTCTTTCAAGACTTATCTTTAAATTTGCGCACTTCCAAAATGCCATGTCTTACCTAAAATGAATATTAGTCATCGATACTATAGGTCCAGGCGAATAAATCTTAGAGTATGTGCAACCTGTGATATGTTTTCTTTCTAATATATTTATATATTTTTAACAAGTACAGTATTGTTTCCTTTACCTCTTGTTCGATTCTAATGTCTTAATTTTATAACAAATAATTATTTGTAAGTGTTTAACAGTGTTCTACATGAGCCACTAATCTTTTTTTACCATTTTATTATGAAAGAACCAAAGCTGAGAAAGATGATTTGCTTAATGTTATTTGGACACATCTCCTGTCTGTTTACAATCAAACAATGTATATAATTAAAACCAAATATTGTAGTAAGGTGATGCACTGACTCCAATATCAGATATCCCTGTGAACTAATCTGTGGAGCAAATATATACACAAATACGTGTGCAAATACAGTTTTTGTTGTTGCTTTGGTTTCATTTAGAAAAATTTACTTTCTGTGTCTCACAGGGCAAAACATAACTCACATTTAAAACCCTTTTGCCTTATGCTGCTTCCGATCCAATTGGCTACACCGCAAGCTAGGTCCTAAAGGTACGTGAAAGTACTGTGTGTGTGAATGTAAGGGGACCGAAAAAAATGCCTGTCAAGTACAAGTCAGGAAGGCCACGCCGTCGACACGTCACAGCGCCGTGATGGGAAATTAGAGGCATCCTGGCTGTAAGAATAAGAAACTTGCGATTTTTCCGAGTGAAGAGGCAAAATTGAATCATTACACTTGCTGCAGAGGTGTCCAATCTCAGAGTGATGGTACCCGAATGTTTTTGTAATTGGGAAAATGCGCTGGTGTTAAAATATATCACGGCCACATTGAGGTTTTTATAAACAAATTTTATTGAGTTGAACTAATGAGTCCACCTGAAACACCTAATTTGAGCTGACTTACAATTCAGTACCATGTATCTCTGTCACATTGCTTACAATGTTCTGCTGATATGAAAGCACACTTACATGAATACAACACATACCATCACATACAAATAAACACAGTATTTGATAAGTTTGAGTTAGTCCAGATCAGCATAATCAATCAGCATTTATATAGAAAAAGGGCGCTTTTAAAAAAATTCTTACAATATTAAAGCTTGTACCCTATCCTTATGCCCCATGTCACAAAATTTCTTTAAATAAATAAATTAAATTAAGTTAAAAAGAAATAAACAAAACACTCAGTTTATCGACTTCACTTAAATAAACCATAGCACTTCAATAATCACATCAAAATTAAGAATTCAGAGATATCCATTAGCAAAATAAAGAACAAAAAGCAACTAGAACGTCTTGTAAAGAGTTTTTTTTTACCACCAGATCAGCTTAGTTGTTAAGACCAAAAGACATACTGAGAATGTCTTACCTTAGAACCAAAAAATCCTTTTTAGAAATCTGAACATTAACTTGACCATGATAATAGCACTGAACATAAAGCATGTTCTGTTCTGAAGTTGCATAAGCTGTTTGAAACACAGATCCATTAAACTCTAACATCTGTAATTATTGTCACTAGACTAATACAGTACCACAATATGGTTACATTAAGCAAAGTCAAGAACATTAACTGAGGTAGCAATAAGGTTTGGTCCACTTTTCAAACTGCTTTTTATTCTCGACCAATCAAGGGAAATAAAGAAAACATTCATGTTGCGTTGAGGACCTTGGTCCTTCAGATGGAAGAAGAGATTAGAGGCATCAGAAATGCGCTCAATCTATAAAAGATTCTACATTGCTTCAATTATTACATAATTAAAAGTACAATAAAATTAAAAACCCCACATACTCAATGAAGCTTAGCCCATGGCACATCTTGTAACTCATTATCAATCTGTGGGGGAAAATATAGATGAATAATACACACTGGTTTAATGGTTGGCCATAATAACATAGTTTACACAAATACTGTTTGAACAGGTGGCACTTTGCATTCCTTACAATCAACAAGGTACAATCTGTGTCACAGTGCAACATTAGAAAAATACTGACACCCACTCATGTAACATAACAAGGGTAGAAATTTACAAGCCTGGAAGCATCAGAAGGAAAAACAGCCAGTAGACCGGCTGGAAATTTCCTGGCTACTTAACATAGGTTATTGAAACCTGCTAACAGTGAGAATAGTGGATAATGGTATCACTTTTTCAAAACAATGGATAAAATTAACAGTTGTGTCAAATGAGCCACTGGCAACAATTTCTACAACAGCAAAATTGAAACAATTTAGAAATCAAACTAAATAATAAATTCATCAGGCTTCAGTTTGAATTGCATTTTAAAAAAATAATTCATAAAATTTTTAAAATTGGCTAAAATGGGAAGAATTTGACTGTGAATTTGGTAAAATTTGAATTGACTACTGCCAGTGGTTCGGTCATCACACCTAATTATGGGCAATCGCCATACAAGAAGAAAAATTCCCATATAAAAGAACATACAAGCAAATATCACAATTGGCTTTAACATAGCCATACATTAATACAGACCTACCAGTTTAGATCACATACCAAAATTTGATCTACTGCACAACATACAAAAGCCTCAGCAAGTTAATTATAAATTGGTGTTGCCTGCTCAAGGAAACCTATCTTTGAGAGTTTCATGAACCAATGGCCACTTTGATTGCACATCACATTTTGATATTACGACAGCGATCACAGGATTTACTTCCATGAAAGGAAATGGCTATTCTAGTAATTTTATGAAAGATCCAAGTACAAAACAGAAAGAGGAAACACTCACAAACCAACCAGGCTCCTCATTCTTTTGGAATACCTGGATAAATAAATGAACAATTTTAACATGCAGTTCTTCCTCACATTCATTGGGGTTCAGCAGATGATTAGCCTTTCATAATATCTACAGTAGCTCAACTAATCTTTGGAGCACTGATATGCAGTAATAGTGATACTTTTATGAATATATTACAATCAGCCGGAGACTAAAGGAGTACACACAGACTAAGAACAGTATTAATGCAGAGCTGTACACAATTCTCACAAGGTACACCAGTACAAAAATTTTCACATCATAACATGATTTTCTTGAACAAAAATTTAATACATTTCATCCTTTCCATTCTGACAAAATTCAAGTTGTCAAACATAGTTGTCTTTTCATTGTGTTCTTCTTAATAAATTCATGTAAAATCCTAACAAACATAGATCTCATTAATTTCTGCTATACAAGCAACACATGATCCACAATTAACCAATAAATAACAAACTCATTCCTGTGATAATAAAAATAGAAAACAGTCCACTACATAATGAATCAGGCACAAAATATGTCAATCCTCTGCAGTTGAATAAATATGAAGGCCTTTATATCCTAGTATGATTCAAACATAATAATAAAAGATGAAAAAAAATTTCCGTGAAGAATCAAATAACATGATACAGATAGAAATGCTTACTCCTCATGCTACAGCGAATCCACAAACTATTAACGTTTTTCCATAAAACAAAATGTAAGGAAAGAACAGTGTGCGAAAAGTGGGAATTGAAGCCCTCTGCTCTAACAGAAGGCAAATTCGCCAAAATGCATGAAATGTTTAACTCCCTAAGTTACAAACTGACACTTACAAGCCGTATTAAAGGAAGCACAACTAACGTGTTTAAAATTTATGCTTTCAAAACAGAAGTGCTTCAATAGAAAATATGCCAACAATTTTCATGGGAAACTTGAAATGCTGATAAGACTAATTCATCACTTCTTTGGTGATGTAGTCAACTCTTTGACCACTTCTTCTGGACCAAAGTACACGTTGGTCATGACTATTGCACCTGTGCAAGTTGTCTGGCATTCTGCATCAACGGTGCTTCCAACATTGTTTGTTAAAGCTCTGGCCCGAATCGTTTCGGAAGAGTTTCCAATGCTAGGAGCAGAACTCATTGAGTTACCCAATGAACGGCTCTGAATTCTTTCATGGCACTTGCAATTGCAGCATCTGTGTGGCAAACAAAAACCGAGTTGACTATCCTAAAATTCAACACAAAATCTTAATCACATGAATGCAATGACAAAGACTGACTGGTCCACCCACGTGAAGCCAATCAATCCAATACAATTCCAAAACCATTCACAGAATAAATAGACTCACTTGTCAGAGGTTGAGGATTGAGAAATGAGCGATGATGTGTCGGGGGTGGAAGTGGACAGCACAGCCTCAGACAGCACAGCCTCTAAACGCTCGATTTTCAACAATCGGTCTATTCCCCCATCAGATATTATTTCATTAACTTGATGCATTGTTTCAGTCAAACTGGGTGGCTGGGAAATTGTAGTGGGGGGCGATGATACACCACCTACATAAATGCATCAGAGAGAAATCCACATTATGTAAAGAGGTTACTAGATGTTAATTTGAAACAGAATTTCATTAATTTTTCTTACATACCTGAAAGTGAGTTATCTGAAGGAGTAGTCTTGCCACTAGCATTTTGATTTGAATCCAAGGAATTAAAATCATTGCTCTCAGGGCCCCCATTGTAACAATCGTTGTCTTCATCATCATCGTCGTCATCGTCATCATCATCACTTTTGCTGTCTCTGTTAGTAAATACATTGAAAAGATTAAGAGGCAGGATACACGGAAGCAGGCGTTCAGATGCACAACAGAATGTTTTACTCACCGGTCTTGGTTTCGTCCCTCTAGTTTGTCCAGCTTCCTGGCCACTTTGTAAGACCCTCTCAGCTTCTCTTTCTCCTCTTCAGTGAGCTCCAGATACCTAAGAAGAAATAGCAGTTAGCCAGAGTGAGGAAGAGAGGAAGTGGTAACAATCGGGATATTAAACGTGATTAGTAAGACAAGTCTAGGTGCATTACCTGAGCAATCTGATTTCTCTATTACTGAGAACAATATTTTTAGAAAGTTTAGCTTGAGCTAACCGATTTTTCAAGTCAGTTATCTCCCAATTCAGTTTTCTAACTTTTTTCCGCTGCTTGACTTCAGTCGGACGGATTAAAGTGTAGACCTGCTCGTCACACAGCTCCGCCAGGAGTTGTCCATATTCTGGAGTGATTCGGCTGAAAGAAGGGAAGGGGGTTCAGTGACGAGGAAAGTGAAGCCTCATACTGTGGCGCAGCATGTAATCGCGTTTTGAGCTCCACAGTCGCTAAATGGGACCCAATTCGAGCGTGTGACCCCACCCAATGGATTCCTCGTTCGGAGAGCAATCCATGGGTGGGGTCACACCCTCGGTTCGAGTCCTATTTAGCGACTACGCAGCATAAAACGCGTCCGGGATTTCGACCGCCACCACCGGTCTCCTAGCCCACTGTGCAAGGTGTTCCCTCTCACCTGATCATGGCGTTGTACACGTGCGGGACGAGGGACAGCACGTCGGCGGCCGAGTACAGCATCATGTCCTTGCTGAAGGGGCGGCGCGCCCAGTAGCGCTGGTCGCGGCGGTACACGTTCTTGAGCTGGTCCTTGAGGGGGTTGAGCGGGGCGCCGTAGTCCGCGCACAGGTTGTTCAGGGACACGTTCTTCACCTTGTACACCGGCTTGCCGGTCGTCATGAGCTGCAGGATAGCGTGGCCCGCCTGCAAACAGGGAGGCGCATTGGTAAGGACAGACGGTGAAGCCAGAGGAGGGGCGCGATGGCCGATGGCCTTGCCGATGGCCTTGCCGATGGCGCGGCGAGCGCCTGCGAGGTCGGCCAGCCACTGCGTGCAGCGCACGCCTGTCGCGCGGCGGCCTGCCTCGCAGGCGCTTCGGAGCGTCGTCCGTCTTTCTCGCGAGTGCGAGAGAGGCAGAGCGACGAAAACGACTCTCGGAATCAGTCTGCCGGCTGCCAGCACTCTACCTGGGTGTCGAAGACGTTGGTGAGCGTGATGCCGAACTGGTTGAAGAGGTTGACGCTGTCGCCCCGACAGTCGTGAATGACCTGCAACAAGAGGAGAGCACGGGGTCAGGTACAAGCTACTTCCGTCCTCGCGTCACACACGCCTTTCTGCAAATGTTTGTCGCGCCATTAGCTTCGGGTTTCGCGGCCCGCTCGCGGCAAGGCCGGTCCTCCGTCTCTCTCGCGCCTCCTCCTCCACGGACCGCCCCACGAGTGCGAGAGAGACAGAGAGCGTGTCAAAGCGCCGTTCGGAATCAGCCACTTGGCTACGCCACTCGGCAATCCGGGCCGCTCGCAGCACGCCACTGCGCCTTCCACCCCTGGGGCCCGGCCGGGGTGGGGTGGGGAGTATTATCTTGTTACCTGGTGCCGGGTAACGACGCCCGTCAGGCGAGGGGAAGGGAGGGGGAGGACGGGCTACACCCGCCTGCTTCGCCTGCTGGCCGGAGTCGCAATTTCCTCCCCCGAGGACGTGCCAAGTGCCCGGCCACGCCCGACGCGCCACGCCACAGACACACTTCCCCGGCCGATAGGGAAGTCCTAGGCAGGCCGTGCTAGGCCGGTCCCGACAGGAGCATGGGAGAAGCCCTGGCTGCCAGCTCGGCCGGGGGCGGCGGGGGTACGGCGGCCAACATTGTGCACTGCTTTGCAACCCTGCCGGCCTGCCGCCAGCGGGGGCTTCTCCGCGGTGGGGGTAAAACGCGTGCCCGGCCGTAACCAGCGCAACGCTCCCGAACGTACTACCCACACTCAAGAAGAGCGGCGGATGCCGTGCCGTGCCGTTCGACGACGCCCCCTGAGAGGCCGCTCCGCCGCTCCGCCGCGACGCGAACCGCGCAGACCGCGCACCGCGCGCCGCACGCACGGGGAGGGCACGGAGGGCCCCGCCGCGTCACGCCAGGGGACAATCACGGGGCGGGTGGGGGTGGGGGTGGTTGCCATGATGGACGGGCTGCAATACGTCAGGCGGGGCCCGGCGGCCGGGCCAGGCCAGATGACTCTGACGCCAGAGATTAATAGACAGCCACCGCAATGAGAGCAAACATCGCGACGACGCGGCGCGCCCTCCACCCCTCCACGCCCCGACTAGACGGCACGGCCGACAGCAGACTGAGAGTCGTTTTCGTCGCTGTCTCTCTCGCACCTGCACTAGGCGTTAGAGACAGAGTGGCGACAGCGACTCTCGGAATCAGTCTGCAGGGCGAGCTTGGACGGACATGCAGCGAGGGCGGCAGCGCACGGCAGCATCGCCACTCCACTGCAAGGGCGGAAAACGCACACCACTCGCAGTCATCACGGCCACGGCCGCCACGGCCGCCACACTGCCGCACGACACAAAAGGGCCTCGCTGCACCCCCACCCCTTTTCCTTCAGCGACAAAGCAAAACGATGAAAAATGCGCCGGCGGTCAAGGGAGATTACAACAAGCCGCCGCGGGGGGATCTGCGCTCTGCGCTGTGCAGACTGCTTCCGAAAGTCGTTTTCGTCGCTCTGTCTCTCTCGCGCCTTAACAAGACGCTTCATGAGTGCGAGAGAGACAGAGCGACGAAAACGACTCTCTGAAGCAGTCTGCACAGCGCTGCGGCAAGGCGGAATTGGAGACCCCGGGGGCGGGAGGGGGAGAGGGTGGGAGTTCTTGGAGCATTCAGGACATGAAAAGGCATATCGCCGCTCTTTTCATCAGTCGGAAAGCCTCCGGGCGGGGGGTGGGGGGCGGCAGTCATTTCAATACCGACCGACGCACGCAGGGCGAGGGGCCCAGGGGGGCCGAGGGGGGCTGGCCGCGTGTGGGGCCCACACTGTGGGCCGGGCAGCCGAGCGCGCTGCAGTGGAAGCCACACAGCGAACGGCCCAAGCGGCGCAAGCGGGTAGCAGTTTCAATGAGCGCCGCGTGGCGTGCGTGCCGCAACGCTGCCGCAGCCACACGCAAATCTCCATGTAAATGTACCGGAGGGGTGTGCCTGCCCCGCTCGGTTGTACGCACACTGTAATACGTACAGGATTGTATACATGAAATCCCGAGCACGGCGTCTTTACTCATTCAGAGTGTCGCGTCTGGCTTGCCTTTCCCATGCGTCTCGACAATCCACAATGGCCAAATCCCTCGCAGTGGCGCCAGCGGAGCGAGCGGCGCGGTTCCAACGCGGCCGCGGCCGACTTAGTGCCGCCTTTGAGGACTTTGACAGTTTTCCGTTGAGTCGAGGCGGCGCGGTGTAATCCACGCCGAAGGGGTTGGCGGAGGGGGGGGAGGGGAAGGGGGGGGGGGGGCGAGAGCAGAGCTAGGTGCATTCCAGCGGCAAGGCCAGAGCGATGGAAATGGGTAGCGATATGACCACACGACCTCCACAGGCTGATTCCTACAAGCTTTCCAAAAAGAGATTTTCGTTTTAGTCCAGAATCAAATTTTTTGAAATAACAACGCCTCCCCCACACAACAATTTCGACATGAAAATTTAGAAATTTATCGTCCTTTCCAGGAGCCGTAAAACTATTGCGTTCCCTCAGTGTCCACGCTTGTCGAAACGCCAAATGGAAAGTCAGTCCCAGCACGGGGCAGGTTGCCTCGGCGCGGGGTGCCGCGTGCAGGTGGAATCACTTCCGAATAAAGCATATCAGAGGTAAAAGACCCCCCTTGAAGGTCGGGAAGTGGTGACCTCGGCCCGCCTCGGCCCGCCTCGGCCACGCTAGGCGGCGGGGCGCGGCGGCCCTGAATTGCAAATCAAGCCAAGGGGGCGATGCCGAGCGCCGTACAGCTACTGCAGTGCAGCGCAGGGGCCGCCGCGTCGCCGCGTCGCCTTCGTCGGCCGGGGCTGCGGGTTCGCGTCCCGACGGCGGCGGCCGCCAGAGTAAAAGCGACTCGAGTCATATCAAATTTACCAAGCAAATAAATCCAAATTTGCCGGTCCGGGCCGCGGGAGGTCCTGGGGTCGGGGGGTGAGGCAGCAGGCGCTCCTCAGCGGCATGTCCCTGGCGCTACTCAAATATAGATATATGCGGTTGCGGTGCCGTAAAGAAGGTTTGCCCCTGGGACCGGGGGGCCGGCCCTCCCCTCCGCGACAGCCTTCAGGGGATGAACCGGGCTCTCTTTTACTGCGGATCCACCTGGAGGAGCAGGGCGAGGGCGGCCAGGGCGCACGGCACTACACCTGCCCCGCCGCCCCGCTGAAATACGGCTGCGGATAAGCCAGCACTACGTCACGGCACGCCACGCCACGCGATGCGCCGTGCATTGCCGCCGCGACGCTGTTTCGTTTTCAAAACTGCACTCGCTGCACTGCGCCGCGCGCGTGGCGTGGCGTCGCGGCCAGGCCCGGAATGGAAGCCAGGGCCTGAGAGGAGTCCAGCGGGTCCAGCCGGAGGGCCGCAAGGCAGGTTTCTATTCGTCCAGACTAGAAACCTAGCTACGACACTAGAACGGTCCCGCGGCGGGCCGGGCCAGGCCTAGCCTAGCCGGCCCGTCCACAGCTGCAAGACAGCAGCTGCGTGCAGCGATGACGAACATGCGAGCTGCAACGGGCTGCCTCAGCAGCAGCAGAGCGGCGTGGGGCGGGGCGCGGAGTGGAGTGGGGCCTGCTTGTCCACGGCCACGTCCACACGGACGGCCCGGCCGGCCAGGTGAGCCCCGCGCGGGGCGGGGCGGGGCGGGGTCAGAATCAGTCGGCACACGGCGACAAGTGCTGGTTCATTGGGTCCGCTTCGCTCTTGGCTCCCGACAGCGCGCGTTCACTTTCGAGCCGGCCGAGTGGCGTGGCGGTGCGGGCCACTGTAAACCGCGCGGCCCGGCCCGCTGACGGCGACGCCCACTCCGCCGCGAGCGAGAGAGAGGGAGAGAGGTATTCCGGCGTGGCGGCGCGTGGCGGCTCGGCTCGGGCCTTACGGGTTCAGGCTGTGGGGCGCCGCCGTGGGGCCGACGGGACAAAATGAACCGACGAGCCGCCGACACAGAGCGCGCCTTGTACACAGTGTACACGACTCGGTCGGGCGAGCGGACAGAAACGCACGCAGGCAGACAGACAGGCAGAGAGACGGAAACAAACGCACAGGTGACGACAATTAGCAGCTCGGCACACGCCAGCGCCTTGCATTGCATCCGTTCATTCATTCATTCCTTCCTTCATTCATTCGAGGCCGTGCAGCGTGCATCCCACTCTCCGGCAGCCGGTCCTTCTCTTTCCCCGACTCCACTCATTCCCGTTGCCTGCTCATCTGCGCCGCCCGTTTCGCCCGTTTTGCCGCTTCGCCACGCGTCCCTCCGGGCCGCTCGCCGCGCTCGCCGCGCGTTGCCATGGCCATGGCACGGCCGCGTAACGGACTCCGAGTCATCTTGACGTCTCAAGCGGCTGGCTGGTGCTGCCTGGCTGGACTAGTGGGGCTGGGGCTGGACCAGCGGGCAGCGGAAGGACGCGGACGGACAGACAGACAGACAGGCGGTGCGGCCGGTGCGGGATACGTGGGGGCAAATCGGATGCGTGCGCGCGGTGCTGCGGTGCGGGCCGCGAAGTCTGATTCCCAGCCCACGGACCATCTGGCGGCGCGGCGGTGCGGCGTAGCGCGGCACAGCGCCCGACGGGTAGGCCGCCCGGCCCCTCGCCATGCTCGCCACGCGTCGCGGCGCCGGGTGACGTCACCCGCCGAGCCGGGCCGAGCCGGGCCGAGCCGGGCCGTGTGCAGGCAGGGCGCCAGGGCGGTGGCTTCGACGGCGTGCTTCAGCGACCCCCGCTCCGCTCCGCGCCCCGCCGGCCGCAGGCTTCCAGGCCTCCAGGCATGCATCCTGCCGTCCTGGCGTGCCCCGGCATGGCCCATGGGACGGGATGGGATGGGATGGGACAGCTCGCGGCCCGGCGGCACGACGCGGCCGGCGCACGGCCCGTGGCGCCACGGCTAGCCCGGCGAGCACGGCGGGCCGCTGACCCCCGCGCACCGCCATGGCGCGCCACGCCCTGCCACGCCCTGGTCGTCATCACAGCCCGACCAGCGGCTGCGGTCATGTGCCGCCGGCACCAGCGCACCAGCAGCGTCCCGGCCCATGTCTCTCTCTCGCA